GCTCTTACCCAAAATAATGATTTCCCAACTCTTAAGTGTCTTATGAAATATTGATATAATGAAAGTAAGGGACTATAGATTCGTCATCAGCTTGTAGTTAAGCAAGGCAGGGTGACAGATTTAGTGGATGGCTAAAAGGAGAGATACTTGTCTGTCTCTAGGCGCAAATCCTAATGAATACAATTCATCCACATTGTTTGAGAAGCTTCATCAACAGTGTTTCTCAATCAATAACAAATCGATCATAAAATGGCCACTGCTTGAAGGCAACTGACCTGGGGTTATCTGCTCGATTAGTTACAGTTATACCTGCGCTTATGTTTACAGTTAGGCTTAATAGATCCCACACAGCCTGCAGTTGCAGGCAGGATCTTGGTCAGTGTCAGTCTGCTCTGAAACCCAATACCTTCCACATAGATAGTCAGTACTGCTAGGACTTAGTATTATATTATGTTATTCTGTGTCTGAAGTTCTGACATTTTCTTTGGCGAAACTGAGAAAATGTCTGATTTTGACACGTCTGCCTTTGTATAATGTATGATCTTGTATATGTTTCAGAAAAGAAAGTAAATGCATTTACATGTCATTATTCTGTGTCTCACAGTGCACAATTTCAACATGTTTAGAATATCTTCTGTATTGTGTTAATTTTGCTAATTCTTTGTTGTCACAAGTTACATTGGCATCAAGCCAAAGTAGAACATGTTCCTGAAGTTTCTTATCATGCTTATGAAAACCTTACATCATAAAAAGAATGTTTAAGTACTAGTGACTTGACCTAAAGTTATAAGCCAAAAGTAAAACACCTTTTCAGTGCACCTTCGTAAAAATATGCAAGGTTCCATTTTCCAGAAATGTCAGTGTGACAGGCAGTCCTTACAGTACAATGATGATTATTCTGTCAATTCCTGCTGAAATATCACCAAGGAGTAATTCAGTGTTCAGTGTGCATGACATTTAGTATTAGGCATTGGATCATGTTGGAGGGAATGCATGTCCTCTTTCAAACTGGTGTCTCAGTGGTTACTGAGTTTTATTGATTGCAACAGGTTTCCTGTAGAAGCTGAATGATCCAGGAATAAAGGATATTATTGAGTTATCATGGCTGCTGATCATGCTGACTTAATACCTCTCTTCACATAGGCTTTCGTTGTGATCAACAACAAATTGTAATATTCCCATGAAAAAAAATTCACAATTCAGATTTAATCTTCCCATAGGAAGACAGGTAGCACTTAAAGCTGCACTTTTGCCTTGCAGAGTTGCTTCCCTTAGCTGTACAAGGATTGCTTGATGATTATTTTGAATCTTACCAAACTGTGTCACTTTGTGCCTGATAGAGGGGTATTAGGGAAGGCAAGTGGCTAAAGTGTTTGATGTGAATGCTGATCATCATTCAACATCGGGTTATATTCTTGACATTGGCATATTGTGTAAAACGTGTTCTCCGTATCCACTATTAACACAGAAAAAGTGTAAAACCATGCGACTAAGTCTCTCTGAAAAGACCTAATCCACATCTCCCTAATGTCTTCCATCTCTTCTCTCTAGCTGATGCTCTATACAGTTACACTGCATCGTGACATCATATAACATGGAGAATTTTATCTGTATAACATGAATGTGAAATATTTTAAAAATAATTTCCATTACACAACAGGCTTTAGTAAGTACTGTAACTTGTCAAAAGTTGTTTGATATTTTATGGGATGTATTTTGTTTGCCGTATTTTTCATCATTACATCTGTGAAGTGTTCTTTGGAAAGGGAAGAATGTGTCATGTGTTTCAGTTAGCGTGACGTTATACATTGCATGCTCACCTCTGATCAGTAACAGGAGTGTGTATACAGACTTACATGCTGTATGGAGCTTGCTGACAGACAGTTTGAGAGAAAGGTGTTTTTATGTTTTGGGAAAATAGCTGTAACATTTCATGGTATTTGACAGTGTAATACATAGCATGTACAGACATTAGAGAGTTTGTTAGAACTTATTACATACTTATAATGAAAAAACATTTCTGGAAAAATGAGCATAAACCTGTCAAAATGAGGACAGGTGCTTTTTGGTAATCACTCATGGCTGGTAGTGTATAGATACAGTCTATGTAGTTCTTTCTTCAATGACAACAAACAGGTCCAGGGAACAATAAATTTTCAGCAAAACCTGGAACCAAAAGCTTTTGGTCATAATTTTCTGGTCCAAATTATTCCTTTTTCTGTGCTTGTCAATAAATACATTTGGCTTTGAATATTTATGATGATTGAGATACAAACCAATGTTGTCACATGTTTATGTGTGAAACACCCAAGTCTGCTTTTGTATAAATCACTTTGGCTTTGGCTTATTTAAGTCTCATAGATAACATATTTAGGCCTTGTATAGCATGCATAGCACTGATGTTCTTTGTTCACATGGTTAATCAGAATGTTTGATAAATCCCTCAACCATGCATCACATTCTGGTTAATGAAAAATGATAAAAAAATCAATGTAGCAAAATAAACATAGCCTAATGTCCATTTATCATTTTTGCATTTTTTAAACAGGTAATTATAAAGAGCTTTGAGCTCTCTCAGCCCTTGCTATTAAAAGTGTGTTTTAAGAAATTGGGGAAAAGATTACCATTTCTCAGTCATTTGTCAAATATTTAGAAATATCTGACAGATTCATTGTTACTCTGATTTTCTATGTGACACTGTCAAACTTGCCAGATCAATAACTTGAGCATGTTTGGGGGGTTTAAGCGTAATCTGAATTCCCAAATAGCTTTGGCATCACAAGAAATCGTTTGTATTGATAGGAAATCGCAGAATTACTGCTCCTGGCCATCCTGAAATATGGATTGAATAGATTTGCATGTGATGGAGATGGGGGGCTGTGTAGTGGAAATGAAGTGGCCCCCAAATTAACCCTTTATATGTGAGGGGCCAGGTGGCAATGATATCACTTGTAGTCATGGACTGCCACATGTAGGGCTTTTAGAGTGTTCTGACAAATGGTCTATTTATTGGCCATTTGTTGGGCTTCTGCAAGTTTTTCAGTTTCTGTTTAACAGTGGTGTATAAATGGGATTATAATTTGTTCATGTTTTAAAGATATTCCTTGCAGTCATGGTGAAAGAATATTTATCATGTGTTAAAAATAACTCTCCACTCCTGTTTAGACATCCATACTGAGTAGACGAGTTTTGAAAATGCATGCTAATTGCATGCTAATTATCCTGTTGAAGAAATTTTGTGTTAAAGCATATTTGTAATGTTAAGTTTGAATGTTCTATAGTTCACCAAATAGTATTGTTAAATAGCCCATGTTTAAATGCGCTATCTGGGTTAAGGATTTATTGGTCATGGTTTGTGACATGAATTGTCAAGTGCTTCTTTGATGTGTTGTTTGTAATGTTATCAATCTCAAAGAATAAATTTTGAGTGTTTTCTTTCGAGACAACTGTTAAATGTAAAACATTGAAACTTAACACTAAGAATGTTAGACAGCTTGATAAGAATGCTGTTTTATGACCTGCTAATGTGAGTATGTTGGATTCTGATCAGCCCTCCAAACCCCATTTACTGTACTCAAACACCTTTCTGGACACACCTCAGACTTTGGGGGATATTCAGTCACTAAAGATTAAAATGACATGTAAGAAGACGTCATTGTTAGAAGTCTACAAAAGCGTGCGATTTTCTAATAGAGTTGATTAAATAAGTGTACTTTCGTCTCTGCTTGTCTTCTTAGTTGGTGGAAGGAATAGGTGTCTGGTGGGGAGTTAATGGAATTACCATGCGGTAGACGTAGACACCAGCTGTAGCCAATAATTACATCTCAATGTGACGGTTTGACACCCGCACAGCTGGACTACACACCGTTTACACAGGCCATGGTGGCAACATGCACACTTTGTTCAAATTACAGAAAATATTTTTGTAAGAGTGAACATAATAGTCACGCTTGATTGATCAATATGATGGACCCAACAGTCCATTGTGTGGGGTTTGAATTTCATCTCAAGGAATAAAATATGCTTGTGAATGGACTGAGAAACATGGGATCAGACATTCATTTCCAGAAGTATGTGTAAAGACTCACTACAAAATATAAATACATTTAAAAAGAGATTTAGCTTGAGCATGTCAAGCTGATGAGTCAAGGAAATAAATATTGATTTATATGTCAACAGCTGTTTCACTTTTTTTAAGCATGTTGAAGATCTTTGGATACGTTGGTTATGGAGTTTGTTTCTGGAAAATATTTAATTTATAATACTTATGATTGCAGTATCATTAGAATATGGAAATGATAAGTTTCAAAACTTTCATAAATTGTGATGCCACTTGACAGTCATGATTGTTGTCATCAATTTTGTGTGACAAAGATACCACATGAATTTTTCTAGCATTTAGAGTAAAATAAAATAAAAAATGAAATTTGTTATTTTTGGTCATTTTGGTGATGATTCATTTACCATTGACTCTGGTGTATTAGTTAAGGATCCCAGCAGTAAAATGACCCATTGTTATATGCTACTGATGTCTGTACTGTTCTAGATCTTCTGATATGACAGATGGTATATATGTCATAACATCATGTCATTGTCATATTGACGTAGCCTTAACCAGAGGACACCACTGTGGCCTATTTCTTAAAGCAGTTACAGTCAATATAAATACTTTCTCAAAATTATTTTCTCTTTTATTATTTTTATCATTATAATAGTGAAAACCTCTGATACAAACGTTTTACAAACATTTTCTTTCCGTTTCTCTGATTGTCAAGTCTCAAGCTTGTTAGTTTTAACTGAATCACATCCAGTGTAAATATGTTTGCGAATTTGATAGGCTGGCATAGAAAGGCAACCATGGTAAATATGGTTAATGCTTCAGGAAAAAGAGATAACAAATATGCTGACTTGTAAATAGTGTTACTGTTTGTCCTGTGTGTCAATGTTGTGTATCCAACATGTTGTGGCCTGCCTCTTAATGTCAGTGTTTTGTTTTGCAGAGGAATACCCGCCCCAGCAGATCACAGAACAGCCAGCCTCCGGTGACCCAAAGCCTGAGAATGTGATCAAACGGCTGACCTGCCAGGCCTCAAGCTACCCGACCCCAGTCTACAGCTGGCTGAAGGATGGCACCTTCTTGCTCCGAAACACGTCACAGAATGTCTATGAGATACCCAACCTACAGCGCAGTGATGCCGGAGAATACCGATGTCTGGCTGGAAACAAGTTGGGAGCCTTCCTCAGTCAACCAGCCCATGTTGTGGTGGCTTGTATGTATTGGTTTCTTATGATTGTGGTATGGTGGTTAAGATGTTTGCTTGACCTGGGTTTGATTCATGTATGTACATTGTATGAAGCCATTCTCTGTGTCCCTATCATGATGTGTCTGGTACTGTAAAATAAAACCCATTACCTCACTTGTGCTAGTATACAGTGTATTGAATTATGTGATGAAGGGATAGGTAATTCATCAATGGTGCTATGACAATATTGGAAGTTTCTTGACTATTTTTGCATGACTGGCATTGTTTGGTTTCTTTCAGACATGGAAATGTTCCAATCGGGAGACACCCAGACAATAGAAGTCCAAGAGGGTCGGGCCGTTATCCTGAACCTGCCCCCTCTCGACAGTGTGCCCGACCCAGACATCGACTGGAAGCAGAACAACTCCACCCTGTCTGCTGAGTCCATCTATCATCATGTGACTCTACAGAAGAACCTGGCCTTGTTGTCCAACTCCATATCTGATTCAGGAAGACAGTTCCAAGCACGGGCTGTCAATGGCTTCAGTGGTGCTGGCGGTCAAAGCCAGAGCCATATATTTGTGATCACTGTTGTTGGTGAGTGTTGAACAAGTACCTTCAGAGCAAACAGTCATAACATTTACCAGATATGACAAAGTTGTGATCCATTCTGTGGTGTGTACTGAAATTGAATTTGTCCACCGGCTACATGTTCAGCTGCAGTTTGATAAGCCCAGTTTGTATGTTGTGGATGTGTGTTATTGATAACAAATAATGACGACTCATCATAACTGTCAGGTCATTGTGACCTACATTCATTGCTGTTCTTAGGCTTTATGAAAGATTTCAAAGTTTACATAACCACCATATGGCCATTATAAATTATTATCTATAAATGTTTAGTAGTTAGATAAGTGAAACTTGCTCAAGTCTCAAATGGCATGCCTTAGCGCATGTTACTAATAAGGTCAAGGACAAGTGGAGTTTTACAAGATCAGATGTATGCTCAATATGTTGATAATGTCACATGGATTATTCTGATTTTGCATGTGAGGCCATCATATATTATTCATTCAGTTCATACTTTACCAACATAACATCTTTTCACTGTCTTGTGGTATGTAGAGACAGTGACTTCTTCCATTCATCAATGAATGTACCCTGCCTGAGGGTGTTACTAAACAGTCCTACTTCATGTGAATCATGTCAATGGTCAGTAGAGTAGACATTTGTCATGAACATTTGGTGTAATTTGTAATAAAAATGAGAAGCTACCTTCTTCACATGTTTTGTTTAGTGAAAATTGGATTTAACATAAAATAATTGTTGACAAACTTGCAATTTATGCACCTAATATTGATCCTCCTGATGGAAGGATATTAGCTGTGTTTTAGAAAACATTAATGTGTACATATTCTTACAACTGACCCTGAAATGTACATTTTATAGCAAGAAATGGCTGTGTCTTTTCACAGTAAAGAAATTCATCTACTCAGAAATGTTCAACATTGTTAAGCTGTCATTTTAAAATTCATAGGGTCTTTATCCATTCCTGAACTGTCATGCAATTTCAGAATAAGATGAATGAGAAAAAGTGAAAAAAAATTGCTTGTCTTTCAGAACATGGCAACCGATCAGCTCACCTTCTCCCAGAAATGATATCTCCGCCAGTGGATGCTGTGGCTAATGAAGGGGACTCCGATGTCAAAGTGGAGTGTGTCATCAATGCTCGGTGCGTTTACTAAGTTGTTGCATAATCTCTAAGGTCGTTGTGTAGAGAGCCTAGAGTCCATTTATAGCGTGTGATACTTCGTGAAATGTGTACAATATTTTGTAATATTTTTACTGCACTTGTGAAAAATCTCATATAGTTGAAAAACTGATGGTGTGGTGTAAGCAAGCACCCACTGTGTTCATGGTTACACTGGGACATGGTGTGTGTTTAGGGTTACAAGGGGACATGGTGTGTGTTTAGGGTTACAAGGGGACATGATTTGTATTTAGGGTTACAAGGGGACATGATTTGTATTTAGGGTTACAAGGGGACATGGTGTGTATTTAGGGTTACAAGGGGACATGATGTGTATTTAGGGTTACAAGGGGACATGATGTGTATTTAGGGTTACAAGGGGACATGGTTTGTATTTAGGGTTACAAGGGGACATGGTGTGTATTTAGGGTTACAAGGGGACATGGTTTGTATTTAGGGTTACAAGGGGACATGGTTTGTATTTAGGGTTACAAGGGGACATGGTGTGTATTTAGGGTTACAAGGGGACATGGTTTGTATTTAGGGTTACAAGGGGACATGATTTGTATTTAGGGTTACAAGGGGACATGGTGTATATTTAGGGTTACAAGGGGACATGGTTTGTATTTAGGGTTACAAGGGGACATGGTGTGTATTTAGGGTTACAAGGGGACATGATTTGTATTTAGGGTTACAAGGGGACATGGTTTGTATTTAGGGTTACAAGGGGACATGGTGTGTATTTAGGGTTACAAGGGGACATGTGTATTTAGGGTTACAAGGGGACATGGTGTATATTTAGGGTTACAAGGGGACATGGTATGTATTTAGGGTTACAAGGGGACACAGTGTGTATTTAGGGTTACAAGGGGACATGGTGTGTATTTAGGGTTACAAGGGGACATGGTGTGTATTTAGGGTTACAAAGGGACATGGTGTGTATTTAGGGTTACAAAGGGACATGGTTTGTATTTAGAGTTACAAGGGGACATGGTGTGTATTTAGGGTTACAAGGGGACATGGTGTGTATTTAGGGTTACAAAGGGACATGGTTTGGATTTAGGGTTACAAGGAGACATTGTGTATATTTAGGGTTACAAGGGGACATGGTGTGTATTTAGGGTTACAAGGGGACACGGTGTGTATTTAGGGATACAAGGGGACATGGTGTGTATTTAGGGTTACAAGGGGACATGATTTGTATTTAGGGTTACAAGGGGACATGGTTTGTATTTAGGGTTACAAGGGGACATGGTGTGTATTTAGGGTTACAAAGGGGACATGGTTTGTATTTAGGGTTACAAGGGACATGGTTTGTATTTAGGGATACAAAGGGGACATGATTTGTATTTAGGGTTACAAAGGGGACATGGTTTGTATTTAGGGTTACAAAGGGACATGGTGTGTATTTAGGGTTACAAAGGGTGTGTATGGGTTACAAAGTGGTGTGTATTTAGGGATACAAAGGGGACATGGTGTGTATTTAGGGATACAAGGGGACATGATTCGTATTTAGGGTTACAAGGGGGACATGGTGTGTATTTAGGGTTACAAGGGGACACAGTGTGTATTTAGGGTTACAAGGGGACATGGTTTGTATTTAGGGTTACAAGGGGACATGGTTTGTATTTAGGGTTACAAGGGGACATGGTGTGTATTTAGGGTTACAAGGGGACATGTGTATTTAGGGTTACAAGGGGACATGGTGTATATTTAGGGTTACAAGGGGACATGGTATGTATTTAGGGTTACAAGGGGACACAGTGTGTATTTAGGGTTACAAGGGGACATGGTGTGTATTTAGGGTTACAAGGGGACATGGTGTGTATTTAGGGTTACAAAGGGACATGGTGTGTATTTAGGGTTACAAAGGGACATGGTTTGTATTTAGAGTTACAAGGGGACATGGTGTGTATTTAGGGTTACAAGGGGACATGGTGTGTATTCAGGGTTACAAGGGGACATGATGTGTATTCAGGGTTACAAGGGGACATGGTTTGTATTTAGGGTTACAAGGGGACATGGTGTGTATTTAGGGTTACAAGGGGACATGGTGTGTATTTAGGGTTACAAGGGGACATGATTTGTATTTAGAGTTACAAGAGGACATGGTGTATATTTAGGGTTACAAGGGGACATGGTTTGTATTTAGGGTTACAAGGGGACATGGTGTGTATTTAGGGTTACAAGGGGACATGTGTATTTAGGGTTACAAGGGGACATGGTGTATATTTAGGGTTACAAGGGGACATGGTATGTATTTAGGGTTACAAGGGGACACAGTGTGTATTTAGGGTTACAAGGGGACATGGTGTGTATTTAGGGTTACAAGGGGACATGGTGTGTATTTAGGGTTACAAGGGGACATGGTGTGTATTTAGGGTTACAAAGGGACATGGTGTGTATTTAGGGTTACAAAGGGACATGGTTTGTATTTAGAGTTACAAAGGGGACATGGTGTGTATTTAGGGTTACAAGGGGACATGGTGTGTATTTAGGGTTACAAAGGGGACATGGTTTGTATTTAGGGTTACAAGGGGACATGGTTTGTATTTAGGGTTACAAGGGGACATGGTTTGTATTTAGGGTTACAAGGGGACACAGTGTGTATTTAGGGTTACAAGGGGACATGGTGTGTATTTAGGGTTACAAGGGGACATGGTGTGTATTTAGGGTTACAAGGGGACATGGTGTGTATTTAGGGTTACAAAGGGACATGGTTTGGATTTAGGGTTACAAGGAGACATTGTGTATATTTAGGGTTACAAGGGGACATGGTGTGTATTTAGGGTTACAAGGGGACACGGTGTGTATTTAGGGATACAAGGGGACATGGTGTGTATTTAGGGTTACAAGGGGACATGATTTGTATTTAGGGTTACAAGGGGACATGGTTTGTATTTAGGGTTACAAGGGGACATGGTGTGTATTTAGGGTTACAAGGGGACATGGTTTGTATTTAGGGTTACAAGGGGACATGGTTTGTATTTAGGGTTACAAGGGGACATGGTTTGTATTTAGGGTTACAAAGGGGACATGGTTTGTATTTAGGGTTACAAGGGACATATTTGTATTTAGGGTTACAAAGGGGACATGGTGTGTATTTAGGGTTACAAGGGGCGTGTATTTAGGGTTACAAGGGGAGATGGTGTATATTTAGGGTTACAAGGGGACATGGTTTGTATTTAGGGTTACAAGGGGACACAGTGTGTATTTAGGGTTACAAGGGGACATGGTGTGTATTTAGGGTTACAAGGGGACATGGTGTGTATTTAGGGTTACAAAAGGGACATGGTGTGTATTTAGGGTTACAAAGGGACATGGTTTGTATTTAGGGTTACAAGGGGACATGGTATTGTATTTAGGGTTACAAGGGGACATGGTGTGTATTTAGGGTTACAAAGGGACATGGTGTGTATTTAGGGTTACAAAAGGGACATGGTTTGGATTTAGAGTTACAAGGAGACATTGTGTATATTTAGGGTTACAAGGGGACATGGTGTGTATTTAGGGTTACAAGGGGACATGGTGTGTATTTAGGGATACAAGGGGACATGATTTGTATTTAGGGTTACAAGGGGACATGATTTGTATTTAGGGTTACAAGGGGACATGGTTTGTATTTAGGGTTACAAGGGGACATGGTGTGTATTTAGGGTTACAAAGGGACATGGTGTGTATTTAGGGATACAAGGGACATGGTGTGTATTTAGGGATACAAGGGGACATGATTCGTATTTAGGGTTACAAAAAGGGGACATGGTGTGTATTTAGGGTTACAAAGGGGACATGGTGTGTGTATTTAGGGTTACAAAGGGGACATGGTTTGTGTATTTAGGGTTACAAGGGGACATGGTTTGTATTTAGGGTTACAAGGGGACATGGTGTGTATTTAGGGTTACAAGGGGACATGTGTATTTAGGGTTACAAGGGGACATGGTGTATATTTAGGGTTACAAGGGGACATGGTATGTATTTAGGGTTACAAGGGGACACAGTGTGTATTTAGGGTTACAAAGGGGACATGGTGTGTATTTAGGGTTACAAAGGGGACATGGTGTGTATTTAGGGTTACAAAAGGGACATGGTGTGTATTTAGGGTTACAAAGGGACATGGTTTGTATTTAGAGTTACAAGGGGACATGGTGTGTATTTAGGGTTACAAGGGGACATGGTGTGTATTCAGGGTTACAAGGGGACATGATGTGTATTCAGGGTTACAAGGGGACATGGTTTGTATTTAGGGTTACAAGGGGACATGGTGTGTATTTAGGGTTACAAGGGGACATGGTGTGTATTTAGGGTTACAAGGGGACATGATTTGTATTTAGAGTTACAAGAGGACATGGTGTATATTTAGGGTTACAAGGGGACATGGTTTGTATTTAGGGTTACAAGGGGACATGGTGTGTATTTAGGGTTACAAGGGGACATGTGTATTTAGGGTTACAAGGGGACATGGTGTATATTTAGGGTTACAAAGGGGACATGGTATGTATTTAGGGTTACAAGGGGACACAGTGTGTATTTAGGGTTACAAAGGGACATGGTGTGTATTTAGGGTTACAAAGGGGACATGGTGTGTATTTAGGGTTACAAAGGGACATGGTGTGTATTTAGGGTTACAAAGGGACATGGTGTGTATTTAGGGTTACAAAGGGACATGGTTTGTATTTAGAGTTACAAGGGGACATGGTGTGTATTTAGGGTTACAAAGGGGACATGGTGTGTATTTAGGGTTACAAAGGGACATGGTTTGGATTTAGGGTTACAAGGAGACATTGTGTATATTTAGGGTTACAAGGGGACATGGTGTGTATTTAGGGTTACAAAGGGACACGGATACAAGGGGACATGGTGTGTATTTAGGGATACAAAGGGGACATAGTGTGTATTTAGGGTTACAAAGGGGACATGATTTGTATTTAGGGTTACAAGGGGACATGGTTTGTATTTAGGGTTACAAGGGGACATGGTGTGTATTTAGGGTTACAAGGGGACATGGTTTGTATTTAGGGTTACAAAGGGACATGGTTTGTATTTAGGGTTACAAAGGGGACATAGTTTGTATTTAGGGTTACAAGGGGACATGGTTTGTATTTAGGGTTACAAAGGGGACATGGTGTGTATTTAGGGTTACAAGGGGACATGGTGTGTATTTAGGGTTACAAAGGGGACATGGTTTGTATTTAGGGTTACAAAGGGGACATGGTGTGTATTTAGGGTTACAAGGGGACATGGTGTGTATTTAGGGTTACAAGGGGACATGGTTTGTATTTAGGGTTACAAGGGGACATGGTGTGTATTTAGGGTTACAAGGGGACATGGTGTATTTAGGGTTACAAGGGGACATAGCGTATGTATGGTTACAAGGGGACATATTTAGGGTTACAAGGGGACATGGTGTATTTAGGGTTACAAAGGGGACATGGTGTGTATTTAGGGTTACAAGGGGACATGGTGTGGTGTGTATTTAGGGTTACAAAGGGGACATGGTGTGTATTTAGGGTTACAAAGGGACATGTTTAGGTGTGTATTTAGGGTTACAAATGGTGTGTACATAGGTGTACATGGTGTTACAAAGGGTTATTTATTTAGGGTTACAAAGGGGACATGGTGTGTATTTAGGGTTACAAGGGACATGGTTTGTATTTAGGGTTACAAGGGGACATGGTTTGTATTTAGGGTTACAAAGGGGACATGGTTTGTATTTAGGGTTACAAAGGGGACATGGTTTGTATTTAGGGTTACAAAGGGGACATGGTGTATATTTAGGGTTACAAAGGGGACATGGTTTGTATTTAGGGTTACAAGGGGACATGGTGTGTATTTAGGGTTACAAGGGGACATGGTTGTATTTAGGGTTACAAAGGGACATGGTGTGTATTTAGGGTTACAAGGGACATGGTTTGTATATTAGGGTTACAAGGGGACATGGTGTGTATTTAGGGTTACAAGGGGACATGGTGTGTATTTAGGGTTACAAGGGGACATGGTGTGTATTTAGGGTTACAAGGGGACATGGTTGTGTATTTAGGGTTACAAAGGGGACATGGTGTGTATTTAGGGTTACAAGGGGACATGGTTTGTATTTAGGGTTACAAGGGACATGGTGTGTATTTAGGGTTACAAAGGGGACATGGTGTGTATTTAGGGTTACAAAGGGACATGGTTTGTATTTAGGGTTACAAGGGGACATGGTGTGTATTTAGGGTTACAAAGGGGACATGGTGTATTTAGGGTTATTTAGGGTTACAAAAGGGACATGGTTTGTATTTAGGGTTACAAGGGGACATGGTTGTGTATTTAGGGTTACAAGGGGACATGGTGTGTATTTAGGGTTACAAAGGGGACATGGTGTGTATTTAGGGTTACAAAGGACAAGGGACATGGTATTTAGGGTTACAAGGGGACATGGTTTGTATTTAGGGTTACAAAGGGGACATGGTGTGTATTTAGGGTTACAAAGGGGACATGGTGTGTATTTAGGGTTACAAAGGGACATGGTGTGTATTTAGGGTTACAAGGGGACATGGTGTGTATTTAGGGTTACAAGGGGACATGGTGTGTATTTAGGGTTACAAGGGGACATGGTGTGTGTATTTAGGGTTACAAGGGGACATGGTGTGTATTTAGGGTTACAAAAGGGACATGGTTTGTATTTAGGGTTACAAGGGGACATGGTGTGTATTTAGGGTTACAAGGGGACATGGTGTGTATTTAGGGTTACAAGGGGACATGGTGTGTATTTAGGGTTACAAGGGGACATGGTTTGTATTTAGGGTTACAAGGGGACATAGTGTGTATTTAGGGTTACAAGGGACATGGTTTGTATTTAGGGTTACAAGGGGACATGGTGTGTATTTAGGGTTACAAAGGGACATGGTGTGTATTTAGGGTTACAAAGGGACATGGTTTGTATTTAGGGTTACAAGGGGACATGGTGTGTATTTAGGGTTACAAGGGGACATGGTTTGTATTTAGGGTTACAAGGGGACATGATGTGTATTTAGGGTTACAAGGGGACATGGTTTGTATTTAGGGTTACAAGGGGACATGGTGTGTATTTAGGGTTACAAGGGGACATGGTTTGTATTTAGGGTTACAAGGGGACATGGTGTGTATTTAGGGTTACAAGGGGACATGATTTGTATTTAGGGTTACAAGGGGACATGTGTTTTAGTATTTAGGGTTACAAATTTAGGGGACATGGGACATGTGTATTTAGGGTTACAAGGGGACATGGTGTGTATTTAGGGTTACAAGGGGACATGGTTTGTATTTAGGGATACAAGGGGACATTGTTTGTATTTAGGGTTACAAGGGGACATGTGTATTAAAGGTTACAAGGGGACATGGTTTGTATTTAGGGTTACAAGGGGACATGGTGTGTATTTAGGGTTACAAGGGGACATGGTGTGTATTTAGGGTTACAAGGGGACACAGTGTGTATTTAGGGTTACAAGGGGACATGGTGTGTGTTCAAGGTTGCAAGTGGGCATGGTGTGTATTCAGTGTTGCAAGGGGGCCTGGGGTGTATTCAGGGTTGCAAGGGGGCCTGGGGTGTATTCAGGGTTGCAAGGGGGCCTGGGGTGTATTCAGGGTTGCAATGGGGCCTGGGGTGTGTTCAGGGTTGCAATGGGGCATCTTCAGGATTGTATTCAGGGTTACAAGGGGGCATGGGGTGTGTTCAGTGTTGCAAGAGGGCATGGGGTGTATTCAGGGTTGCAAGGGGGCCTGGGGTGTGGGTTCAGGGGCCTGGGGTGTGTTCAGGGTTGCAATGGGGCATCTTCAGGATTGCGGGGGCATGGGGTGTGTTCAGTGTTGCAAGAGACATGGGGTGTGTTCAGGATTGCAAGGGGCACGGGGCAACTTCAGGATTGCAAGGGACATGGGGTGTGTATTTAGGGTTGCAAGAGGGCATGGGGTGTATTCAGGATTGCAGGGGGCACGGGGCATCTTCAGGATTGCAGGGGACATGGGGTGTATTCAGGGTTGCAAGGGGGCATGGGGTGTGTTCAGGGTTGCAAGGGGGCATGGGTTGTTTGGGGTTGCAAAAGGACTTGATGTGCTGATCCAAAATTGCAAGCAATTACTTCCACTTATCAGTGCACTACTCAACTGTGTGTGTTGTGGTGTGGTCATGGTCCGAGTAGGTGGCCCTTTCCCAGCTTGATTGTACTCGACCTGTATATGGTTACTTTCCAAAAAGTGTCCACTTGCCATCACTGTATTTTCAAAAGTCATTGAAAGAAGAACCAGTTATTTATATTTTGTTAAGCCTTGTGAAAAAAAGCATTTGAACACATCTCACTTACTCACCAAAGGTAACTAACCTGCTGTGTTCTGTTTCAGACCTATCAACTATCTGAGTATCAGCTGGTTTAAGGTGACAGATGACTCCAGGACTGAGATAGTACGTGAAGGGAGGTACCTGCTCAGTCCATTCAAGCGAGTTTTGACTATAAAGTCACCCATGAATACTGACACTGGAGTGTATGAGTGCGAGGGCAAACTGTCCATTCCTGGTGGTCCTCAGTATCCCAGTGTTACCAAGAGGGTGAACGTCACCATCAGAGGTAGGCTGACAGATGTGTATTTGCTTATTAGCCATTGAGCTAGTGATACAGATTAGGTGCCTATTGCCCCAAACTAAAGCAAGTATAATGCTGATTAAATAAGTCTGATGCACGAGAATACATCACTATACAGCAATGAACATGAATCAGTGTTCATGCTCCAATATATTTCGGGTTGGTGGGTTAGCCTAGTGGTTAAAGCATTTGCTTGTCACGCCGAAGGTCCGGGTTCGATTCCCCACATTGGTACACATTTCTGGTGTCCCCACCGTGATATTGCTGGAATATTGCTATCAGTCTCTCAGTATGTCATGGATGTTTTATCTCCTTTCCTTGAGGATTTCGTTCCTGCTGTTGTACAGCTTAGTATTTGTTGCAGAGCGTCCCCTCATCACCCCGCCACTGCCAACAACACTGGACAAGGACTTCAGTGAGACGGTGGAGCTGGTCTGTGAGGCTGTGGGACAACCTGCTCCCAGTTTCACATGGTACTACAATGGCAGACAGATCAAACTACTTGGCAATCCAAGGTACCAAATAAAACACATTGAATCAGCAAGCTGAACTAGTTTCAGAACTGTTTTACTGATTATTTTAGTCAATGAACTTATTGATGACATGATTGATTTACAGTAATTTCATAAACAGAACTATGTGTGTATTACCCTATAAAGTACATTACAAATATATGAAAAACAATTTCCATTTTATTGACTTAAATATGACTAAGGTGACAGCAAATGTCCAGCTTATACAATTTCTGAGTGTCCTTTACGTAATGCTGTTCATTTCCTGTGTTAGTGTTCCGTATGAACTTGACAACGTCTGTCAACTAATTTGTCCACAGATACAGTGACTTTGGCAATGGAACTCTGGTAATTGAAAGAATCGACCTACCAGACAGTGGAGTATTTCAGTGTATAGCAAGGAATGGAGCAGGGGAGGTATCGGCATCAACATGGCTTAAAGTAAACAGTACGTATTGTGCAGCACTCCGATCACAGAACTCACAAACTGCAGTCTCTGAAATGTAACTAAGTGTTTGTTGTTTACAAATACATCTGGCAATAATATTCCTGAGTACAAGGTTGTAATGAAATGAGATTATAAATATATACTTAAAGGTCACATGCAACCAAAACATCAAACATAATTAAAACACAATTATCACTTATTCATGACATATAATATACATTGCTGATTATGAAAAAATATAAACAAAATTATAAGTGTACAATCGCAAATCAAAAGTGCAATATTTTGTACTTGGGTTTACTTCCCTCGAAACGAAGCAGCCGGGATACCGAACCCAGTCAGAGCGGGTGGGTGTGCACTGAAGTGTAACGGCTGGTTCATTTGCTGATGCCCTCATGGCTCACTGTGTGTGTGTATACAGTGAAGCCTCGTTAATCCGGACGGTAGCGTTTCTCAGTAAATTCGTCCGGATTGCGAATAGTCCGGACTACTGAATCAAGACCCAAGTTGCTTCCCTAACTATTACAAAAACGACACGAATCTGGATAAAACAAATAAGCATTTAATGTAAAGCTTAATTCATCACATCAGTAATTTTACCGAGTGACATCCGCATGTTGATCCGACGTGTCTGATCACGTCCTTCTTCAGCACAGGTGAGGTAATGTCTAACAAGCGATCTATTGTAGTATGCCTTGAATGTCCGAATTATTCCTGCATCCATCGGTTGTGTATGAGACGTTGTATTTGGTCACATTTTGCAAAGTTAGCGAAGCACACTTGTGACTTGCAGCATTGTCGTAAAGCAAAATCACTTTAAGTCCACGTGACCGCATCTGTATGTCTGCCTTTGTATTGTGGTGTCAATCAAAGTGTAAATGTACAGCATCTTCAGTCGGGAGCTTTTAATGTCTAATTAAAACAACAACCCAGTTAGCCAGTTAATCACCTACTCACCCCCGACATAGTTAACGAGCTTAGCAGCAGTTAATCCAGTTACAGGGGAGTGAGTACAGCTAACAGAACAGCCAGGCGAGGGGCTAGAGGTACTAATTAGTGGCTTGTTACAACAGGGGGCTAGGGGGGTGGAGTCGTTAGGAGAGCAGCGCAGCATAGCTGTTGTGAATCGTTTGAACTCTGATTTCGCGTGTTGTTTTTCAGCGCTTTATTTTTCAAATTTATAAGTTGAATTTGCATTTTTGATGATTTGTTTTGGTAAGTCCCTACTGAAAGGTATCAGAATCTGCAAAGTTGTGTTTTACGTTACATGTGACCTTTAAGTGAATTAAAAGACAGCAATGAAGTCTAGTTTTTTCTCAGTGTCGGAATCCCCATCACCCTGGGGGTTCTTTTCAATATAAATGGAATTATTTGTTTCTTTCAAAATTATATATATTCAGAGACAGGGTGTTTGTTTAGCCTGTCACCTATACTGACCATATAGTTCACAGTAAATGTCATGATTTATGGGAAGTCAACGTGCACTGAATAATTGATAACTGGTCATACAAAACCTTATCAAACTAGTTTTCCTACTGAAATTTTAGTTAATTTGTTGTCAATAGAAATTTGTCTTCATAAAAATTCATTTGACAGAGAAAATCCTCTAAATAAGCTAAGATCATCTGAGTCACTGTTTATCTGACATCAAGTATAACATATTCATTGTAAGTGACTGACAGGTGATAGGTGTCTATCACCTAATGTATCCTAAGATATTCTCTGTGAGAGACATTAGTTCTGTTTGATGTCTCTGATGCTGACTACTTAAGTTTTATCAAAATGCTTGTCCATACATATTTGAGATAAACATGGCAGTATTTTCAAAACAGAATCATTTGCTAAATCATTAATGAAGTAATTTGTTTTATTATCTTGATTAGTGAGCAATGTTTGGTATGGGCTTGTATGTATTGTTTAGTTGTTCCTGTAGTGATAGCCCCACATGGGTACAATGAGTGAAGTCCATTTCTGGTGTCCCCCGCCGTGATATTGCTGGAATATTGCTAAAAGCGGCGTAAAACCAAACTCAGTCAGCTGTAGTGATAGCAACATGCTGTTTGATGATGTGTTGGGTTTTGAAGAATATACTACTTTATCAATGGAAATATTGGAATGTTCTGTACATGAAGTCATAATTAATCATGACTACATTTATTTCAATTTTAGTTTTATGCTTTACAAGTAAAGATATTCTGTCCAAATAAACATTATGAGCTAACTTTTAAATGAAGAACTAGGCGTAAACACAGTCATGATAATGTGCCAGTAGATTTGATTATGGTACTGCTAACTTTGTATATTTAAGCAACAGCTAAGCCATTAAACAAAAAGTGTTCACTATATCAATTGTTTGTATCATGAAATTATCATTTGCTTCTCTTGTTTGAGTCATAATGGCAGTTGTTGAAAGGGTTCCTTTATGAGACAAGAAGTTGTGTTTAATATAGTACTATAATGTATATAGATGACCTGTTGTCATTTTCTATAATGGGGTGGTGGGATAGCCTAGTGGTTAAGGCGTTCACTCGTCATGCCGAAGACCCCGGTTCGATTCCCCACATGGGCACAATGTGTGAAGCCCATCTCTGGTTATTGATAGTTTACACAATAGTAGCAATGCTGTGGTGCATATATGAAACGAAACGCAAGATTACTGATACTCCATTAAGTTCCATTCAGTACTCTAAATGTACTCTTAAGGTTTTCCAGTACTCCTTTATTGAAAAAATAAGGAGTACGTACTCCTGATGTTGAAAATTATCTGGAGCCCTGTCATACCAGGTTTAAGTTTAAACTTCCTGTTTGATTGATCAGAAATATATGGAAAACCGTGGTTACACTAACAGGATGTAGAAAACAACAAACAGTATGTACGATATTTGTTTGTGGTACCATGCTTGTCTCCTGAGTTCCTGTGCAATTTTTCCAGGTTGTATTTTTCTGTGGCATCCGTAGTGGATTTTGTAACTTTGTTTATAAATGATAACTATCCTATAACTGTTGATATCAGATTGGTTGTGCATTACCTTTACATGCCTTTGAAAACATACAGGTTGCAGGTTGCTTTAATGTTTTCTTTTTCTGTCTATTTCTTTGATAACGTTTTGGGACTAATGACAACTTGGCAGCAGTAACATGACTGCCATCCTCTTCAGACCAAGATTCACGTAAAACACACCCCTTGTTATATGAAGGTCTAATACAGAATTTTGTCTAAGTAGATGAAGTTTCCCATAGTTGTGTACAATGTAAATAGATATAAATGTACTGATCTTATAACGATGTGTATTTTTAAGACACACAATTTAGTGAAACATTTGGAACAAATTTACAATGAGATAAAGATCATTGTAGTCCATTCAGAGCTGTCCTTTCTTATCAGGGTGTAGTTACATGCTAGATGCTAGTGCTACATGTAGCCCTGATGGTTTATGACAGACTGCTTGGGAGGGCCTTCTTGGTGGCTTAAACTCCTTGAGGTATTTTTCCCTTAAAATGATAAGTTTTGATTAAAGAAATTTATGAAATATTCTGAAAAGAAAGAGAATATTTTTGTGAAAATGGTTTCCAGATATTCTTTTATCCTTGAGTAACTACTCTGGCATATGTTTTGCCAATTCTTATGGTAAAAACCATCATATTGCTGAAATCTTGCTGAGTGTGGCATTGCAGAAACTAAACAAAACAGTCCTTGTTAAGTTTCCCACTGGCAATGGTACTCAATGATAGTTGATCAGATAAGAGTATTTCATTAAGGAGCAGTAATAGTGGTTGTGGGACAAAATATATGGCAGTACCTGGTCTTATGGCCACAAGTTTTAAATATTTAGGTTCAGGGATCCACTGACTTTGGCTACCTTGTAACATGCATTAACAAAATGGCTTGTGTGTTTGTGTGTAGGTTCTCCGCCAAGGTTTGTGACCTCTCCGCAGGATCTGACTGTAGTGGAAACCAATGAAGCCCGGTTCCCATGTGGGGTGACTGGAGCTCCCCAACCTGTCATCACTTGGAAGAAAGGTAGCGATGTCTCTACATGTATATTACTTTGATTGTACTCTGTGGCTGTTTGAAGGACATGCTTATGTATTATGGCCCTGTGTATTTTTTTTCTGTTTATTTGTGTATGACAGTTATTGTTCAGCTAAAGCTGTAGAGGCAGACAGTTTTCTTACTGTAACTTTTGACAGGTTCAGAATGACAACAGTTGTCCCCCTTTTTAGAGATACTCCTATACGTGGATTCTGATACATTTGATCTCTTTTTCCTATCCTTTTCCTAAGTAAATGACCCCCCTACCTGTCATGTACAAGGTCAGTGCCCCCCCCCCATTTTAAGCATAACATCTTAATACTTTCATGTACACTGTACAAACTGATGACCCACCCTACTTCCCCAGAACAAAATGGGTGATCCTCCCTTAAAATCATCATCACACCCGGCCCCCCAGCCATTAGTTATGAACAGTCCCTTACTTTGATGAATGGGGCCCTGATTGGGTGTAATCATGATATGGCAGCCTTGTGTTCCACATGCAGTGATCCCCTATTTTGAAATATCAATGGTTGACTTAAATGCAGTTGTTGCTTTACAAAACTTTCTTATGTAAGTATAGGCTACGTCCTCTCCCATTTGGCTGTGACACTTGTTAAATACTGCAGTGGAAATTCTGTTGAGAACAGGCCTCCAGCTTCTTATGATGGTCATAAGAGGTGGCTTATAATTAATGGATAAGGTGGTACGACTCAGTGACTTAACTAATAATGTGTTTTTGTACTCCCGACAGCGTGTGTTGATGCTGATGGATTATGTGGTCCAGATTCAATCATGTGGCTGGGAGAGCATGGCGTTAAACAAACTAAACATGCTAAATGCCACTGTGTGTTAACATCTGGTTCACAACATTATTATATGTCTTGTTTTCCTCTTGTCTTGTCAGTGACATCGAGTGGTGAAGAGACAATCTCGAGTGGTGGTCGCTTCCAGATCCTGGACAGTGGCTTGCTCATAGCTACGACCAGGAAATCAGACTCTGGTGTCTACCGATGTATTGCCACCAACATCCGTGGTAATGCCTCTGAAGAGGCCACCTTGCAAGTCATCAGTATGTATTTGTTGCTATGTGTAATTTGATCCTTGTAATGACTTTAGAGTCAATCAACTAGAAGTGCTTATCTGTCATGTCTAGACATTTTAATTAGCAGCAATTTCACACATAGTGTCGATTGAAGTAGGGTAACCATTTATTGCAAGGTGACACTGGTCATAAAATGGTTTTAAATGAGTTTGAATGCCCATTGATCTGAGTTTACTGCCCATTTAAAGGAATATTGACAGCCTCTTGCCTTGGAAAGATTACAGAAAATCAATGTTTGGAAAATTGGAATATTCGTTTACAAATCCATCAAAAGTCCCTTGAGATATGTTTTTTGTGTTCAGCATGGAATGAGGTCTGTCTATAAATACTGACAAAACATGAAGTTTACATATGGAGAATGTTTAATTTTCAATTTTTATCCCAATAGTTGACATTTGGAAGGAAAACTGTGAAATATTTACCAGTGTTAAAGCACACTGACACACCTTTATATCAATTGAACACCTTGTGTTTTCAGTCAAGACACAGATAGTGCGGCCACCACAGAATATTACTGCCATCTTGAGTACCAGCGCCACCTTGGAGTGTGGTGTCACCCGAGATGAGAACGTCCAGGTCACATGGAAATGGTTCTTCTACAAGAAGCCGGATTATGTGGAACAGCCAATCAGCAACGGAGGTCGGCATCTCATCACACCACAGGGCAGTCTCATCATCAGTGGAGTTGCTGGACAGGACATTGGTCGCTACAAGTGTCAGGTCATCTCTCCAGGGGGCAATGACAGCAGGGTAGCAACACTCATGGTGGTTGGTGAGTTGGATTCCAGGTTGTCCAGCTGATTCGTGTGAAAGAATGTAATGTGGGAATAAAATTGTGAAAGATGGATGTAAATTGTGAATATTCTGATGATGAATAAAATATGAGATTGTAACTGTGAAAAATTGGATGTAAAATGTGAAAGATGTAAATTGGGAATATTCTGAAGATTGATATAAATTGTGAAGGATGTTGGTGAAATGTAAAAGATAGTTTGACATTTGGATGTGAAATGCGACTGCTTGATGTGATGAATGTATTCGAAGTGTCAAAAAAAGAGGCTAAATGGGACAGAGGGATATGTAACAATCTTTTAGTTTCAGTGCTGGATGATGCCAGATTATGATGTATGATGACTTTTCATGATTCTTAGCACTTCAAAAAACATGTTGATTCAGTGTTTGTTTGAAACTCTTCAATTGTTATTATCTCTTAACATTTGCTAGAGCTATCATGAATTTCTCTCTCCCCAGAACTTCCCCGTCGCCCAGTAGTTGTCTCTGTTGCGTTGCATGCGACCAAACCAAACACCGTCACCATCCAATGGCGACCAGCGTTTGATGGTAACAGCCCCATACAGCGGTATATCATCAGCTACAGAGATGAAGTCCAACGTGAGTCAAAGCCATTGCTGTTTCATCATGTTTGTCTACTGTCGAAAGTTTAGTCATGTCATGTCAAACTGTATTTGAGGAAAAATTACATCCAAATCATTAACACAACAGTTTACAGAAGTGATGGTTGTACATGAATATTCAAGTGGAAAGACGGTTGTTAGTTACAATGTTGTACATCAGCTGTTCCACAGCTGACCTCTGATATGCCTTGCCAAAGTCTGATCACACTGTCAGGAATATGGCTACCTTGAACTTGACGATATGCTTAATTACAACTTTAAAATTTTGCTGGCATTGTCTTTGTGTTGAATCTCCTGCTCACATAATGGCTTTATTGTCTTTTTGCTAATTTAGCAAATTTAGCTTTCTATCACCTATCAATAATAGTAATATAATAAATACTAATTAATATGACTTTAGTATAAATCATTTCATTTCGTGTTCAGCTGGTAGCAATGAGAATTCCAGATGGGTGGTGTACCCAGTCAACATCCCTCCTGACAGAACGAGTCAAGACGTATCAGGTCTTCAGGCTGCCAGATACTACAAGTTCAGGATCAGTGCAGTCAACAGTGTTGGGGAGGGCAACTCCAGTCAGCCCAAACCGGATCAAGCTCTACAGATGCCACCACAACGTAAGATGATCATCATGTTTGATGGGTCACAAATGGATTCCCCATTACCCCATGTTTGTGATTGCAGTGTTAATGGCTGTGTGACAGTTTATTCATGGTATTTTGAAATGAAGATAAATTTCCTTTAGGATTGCTTGGTAAGATCACCATCATTGTCAGTGGCTTCAAAGTAACAGACACCACTGAATCTAAGAACTGGGTCTGACAGTCACAGTAGGGATAGAAATACTTTTTGTTCTAAGTGTGTCTTAGGGCACAAGACAAATATTTTAGATGTGCCTTTCAGAAATCAAGTGTGCCCACATGATTTTAGAATAAATAACTGTAGCAGTGATGATGATCTTTTGAAATTTATTGTTAGTAAAAAACAAATGTAACCTGTTTTCTGTTATCACTGATATGTTTTCTGTTTAAGATGGCTTTCGCTTCATATATTCTGCTTTACGAACACCTTACAGCTAAAATTTTTGTGACATGTTCACTTGTTCAAAATATGTAGCATACACAATTTCCTCTTCAATAACCGAACTATAACTACTCCAATCACTCTAAATGGAAAAACAACCAGATTTCTTGACATCATCCATCATAATTCCAGCGATTTCCTGGGTGATAACGTCAATAAATGTTTTTGCTTGTTTTTCATTTGCGTAAGTGTTTTGTTTTGGGGATTACATGACTAAACGTGAGTTATGTCTCTTAAAAATTAGGCGTGCCATAAGGGCACCGAGAACATTTTTTATCCGTGCCATTTCAATATTTACCGTGCCATGGCACACTAATATATGGGGAATTTCGAACCCTGCACAGTCTATTATCTAGATTATTGTGTGCCATTTACCCTGATAACATTAATTGTGGGTGTTGGTGGGAACCACATATTTGTATTGGTGTAACAGAACTATTGCTTGCTTGTTTTACTCACTTATGTTTATTTATTTCTCAGCACCAAGTTCTCCACCTAAAAACTTCTACTGCTCCCCACGTCCAGGCAGAGCCATATTAGTCCAGTGGCAGCCTCCAGATGATAGTACATGGAATGGCGACCTCCTTGGTTACACCATCAGTTACAAGATTGCCAACTACCCCGACACTGCACTCCAGTTCCGTAATAAGACTGGACAAAGCAGCACGCAGTACCTCTTGGATAACTTGGTATACTACAGTCAATATGAGGTGAAGATAGCTGCTTTCAACATCAAAGGCACAGGCAACTACAGCAATGCATTCCTGGTCTGGACAGTAGAAGGCCAGCCTACAGCTCCACCAACAAATGTAACTTTGACTTCCCCCAACTCTACCACACTCCGAGTCACCTGGCTACCACCAGATCCTTCCCAGATAAATGGAGTCAATCTGGGCTATACTATTGTGCTGAGACAAAAAAACCATCACACAGACAGAGCAGGGAGTGTTTGTTCCATCTGACCCAAATAACCTGTACGATACTCAGGAAAAGCTGATCCTGAATCTGAGGAAGTACACAGAGTATGTGGCAACTATCGTTTGCAGGACAACAGCCGGGCCTGGGCCCGCAAGTCCTTCAAAAACGACAAGAACACAGGAGGATGGTGAGTGCTACCTGCAAGGTATTCTGATGTTGTCCTCTAGGGACCATGACTCAGATGTCTAATGCGTGTTAATTCGCAAAACACTGGAAATATTGATCATGGCCATATGGTATCTGTTGTGAGTGTCCGGGTCATTACACACATGATCCCGGAAACTCTCTGGGACAATTCTTGTATGGGTTTGGACCATTCCTCTTCTGGCACCTTGCTGAAAATGTGTCAGTTCAGTTTCTCTCACACAATCAACTATGGATTTGTTTCGCGCCCTGCAGATATTTCAGTAAATGGTCCTGCTAGCTGGGTACAATATCTCTGACCATATTTATCTCAGACTCTTGAATCTGCATATAAAGGCCAATTCTTGTTCAGAAGAGGTCCTCCTTGGGGAAACAATACTGTATGTCTCCAAGTCATTGTTGCAGCTGTTTATCATTGTTGCAGGAATATCTGTTATGCTGCAGTCACTTAACATCTTACAGCAGGAATCAGTAAAACAAAAGCTCTGTGTTTTCACTTCAGTTCCTGGAGAAGTTGGTGACCTGAGATTCGATAACATTCAAGACACCACATTACGTGTGTCATGGACAGTGCCAGGGGAGGTGAATGGAGTCCTTCAAGGTGAGATGTAGCATCTGTTGTAAGCCTACCAGGTTTTAGTTTCACAAAGCAATTCCAGCACTGTAAGCCTATGTTAATGTATGGGGGTTAAGATGACCTGTAATAGCTTTGTGTAATGGGACCCTGTTCATTGCGTTGCTGTGAATGGAATCCTTCACAAGTGACATGTAGTATCAATTGTTATCCTACCTGTTCATTGCATTGCAATATAGGCGAATGGAATCCTTCACAAGTGACATGTAGTATCAATTGTTATCCTACCTGTTCATTGGGTTGCCTTGTAAGGTGGGACAACTCAACATAAATGACTCTAAAATGAACAATATTTCCAAGTGTAGCATTTCACTAGCCGAAACCTGGCACTTGACAATGTTTTTCTTGAAGATTTCCATGGTATGATATTGACACTTATTGTCTCAGCTTACTAGAGAGAATATTTATTACCAGACTTGGGCTGAGGAGTTAGCAATGTGAACTCTATCAAGTGAGATGTTGTTGTCTCTCATTTATGATGTTAACAGAAATAGTTTAAGAATTTGGCTCTCACTTTAAATGTTGACATAAAATAAACTCTTTCACTTTTAATGTTGACAATATGATCTTTCTCCCTTGAAATGTTGACAATATGACCCTTCTCACTTAAAGTGTTGACAATATGACCGGTCACTTGAAATGGTGACAATATTACTCCTTTCACTTGAAATGGTGACAATATGACCATTCTCACTTGAAATATTGACAATATGACCGCTCACTTGAAATGTTGACAATATGACCTTTCTCACTTAAAGTGTTGACAATATGACCGGACACTTAAAATTTTGACAGAGTGAACTTACTTATGATGTTGACGATATTTTTGTTATGACTTTCAGGATATAAATTGTGGTATGAGAAGAAGAACCAGACATCCACTCGAATTGAAATAGATCTGATATCCAGCCTGACGTCGTACACCATCCAGCGCCTCATGCCGACAACCACATACCACATCTCGGTTGCTGCCTTGACTAGGAAGGGGATGGGACCACTTTCCTCAGCAGACATCGATTCTGGTGTACCTCCAGGTAATCCTTGTCACAGGTGTTAATCCACAATATTTAAATTGGCTGAAGGACACATGCCAGGCAGTCAGAGGTTTAAATCCTACGTGAGCCCCATTACTAATAGAATATTGGCTTGTAAGCAAAATACCTACAGTCATATATGTTTCATGAAGTTTATCACAGTTGTTAGTTTGGAATTCCTCACATGTTGAACTGCTATGCATGCTGTGATAAAACTTCAAAATAATATATTCCCCATAACATATCAGGGCTTGATTTAGGACCTTGATATAACCTGCATCAGGTGCATGTTGACATGAAACCCTTGCCCTACCAGACAAAACCTGGTTGTATCCAGTTCCCATAAATTTATCAGAGAATTGCCGAGGCCTACCCCAGTCAACTTTCAGTGACTAATGAAGATACAATACAATAAGTAATCCACCCTTTTGACAATTAAAGCACTAAAAAGCATAACAATTTCCCTCGATACAGAGTGCGGGCCCTGGAGGCGGACAGGGCTTAGAGATGTCACCTCTGGGCTGGCGAATGTGCAGGGGGATTGAAAGAACTTAGGGGGCACAGCAGGTCACGTATTGAGTGTGTTAAAAGATCAGTGTTGTGTGGAGAAGTCAGACACATGGTTCAAATGCACTCTGGGCATGGAGAAGGCTACCAACAACGCAGCCCAGGTGCTGGCCACGGTCAGCATAGGCCATCTCCCACTGTGGAAAGCGAGTCGCCCGACTTCACCGGGCAAGTTGAAACATTGATGAATAATCAAGTCTATATAAATAAAATATCAGATCTCGGATGAGTTGGTCAGGATATTTGATACTGCAAGTACAGTTCTTATGTGGCAGTCTGATCAATACCAGTGACTGTGAATTGCTGCAAAACTGCTGATGTGGCCTTAAACAGTATTCACTGTCCCAAGTTTCAGTGGCAATGATCATATAATGCATAATGAATAGATCACGATCAGCATATTATAACATGATTCAGCGGTCAACTTCAGTGACTAATGAAGATACAATACAATAAGTAATCCACCCTTTTGACAATTAAAGCACTAAAAAGCATAACAATTTACACAGGGCTTAGAGATGTAGCAGGGTTGAAAGAACTTAGACGTATTGAGTGTGTTAAAAGATCAGTGTTGTGTGGAGAAGTCAGACACATGGTTCAAATGCACTCTGGGCATGGATGGAGTGCTGGTTGCATTTTTCATTACAGGTTGCAGTGGTGCACCAATTAGATAGCCAAATTGAGCCCTACTTACACTTGTCGTAAGAGTCGACTATGATGTTAGTCAGGCTTAAGGAAATGACTGATTATGCTGATTCAAGTGATGTGAATGTTTTTATCTAGGCTCAATTTGTGAAAGAGCATAGTTTTTCAGTCATAAATATAATAAATCTGATTGCTCCAAGGTTATTATTTTTCCTTATTAGAGACATATGATCCTACTATTTCCAGAGCTGCCGACGGCCCCATATAACCTGGGGATCACCAACATGCAGGCCCGGTCAGTGTTGCTGCAGTATCTGCCTGGCTCCAACGGCAAGACCTCTATAACCCTGTGGATTGTGGAAGCTCGTGTAGGAACCAACACTACATGGACGGTGATTTACACACGGAATGATCCAGATGCTCGTGAGATTCTGGTGCAGAACTTGCGCCCTTACACGCAGTATAGACTGCGGTTGATCGCAGAGAATATAGTTGGCAGGAGCAATGCCAGCTTACCCTCAAGGATGTTCGAGACGATGCAGGATGCTCCTGGTGGTCCTCCTGGGAATGTCACAGTCAGGGCCTTGAATTCTACAGCCTTCAGGATCAGCTGGATTGTAAGTTTGTAATTCAAATGCATTAGCATGGTAGTATGGTAGTTGAATTAGTGATATGGACCCTTGTGTAATGTGGAACACCCATTCTTGGTATCTACAAGTGTGATATAGCTGGAACTATAATGGAAGATGATTACTTTTAGAGAACTGGCTTTGTAAAAGATTCTGAAACACTTTCTGCCAATGTTTTCTGATTAACTCTTGCATTTAAGAAAAAGAAAGCCATTTGTTATCAAATATAAATTCATGAACAAAGATAATTCAGCACCTCTGTATTTGTACAGCCTCTTCCTAGCAAGGACTGGAATGGAGAGCCCCAGGGCTACAAGTTGTACTATAGGATGAAAGCCATTGACCCAACAGCCGACTTTGTGGTGCTGCCGCTGGAGAATGGCATGAACATGGAGAGCTTTATCCTGGGTCACCTGGAGGAGTGGGTGGAGTATGAAGTCAAAATGACCTCTTACAACGACGTTGGAGTCAGCAGCTATAGTCCTGTGACCAGAGAGAGGACGAGAGAGTCAGGTCAGTGACTACAGCACCTAGCGGTCCTATGTTTAAATTCTGGGGAAGGAGAGATCACGCTTACCCAGTGCTTAATCTCGGACTTGACTTGATATAAGAGCTGACTCATTGATGCTTACGCCGTCTGGCACTTATGAAATAACCAAAATATTGCTGATCGCTGTGTCACACTCTTTGAAATTGTCCATAGCACATTATTTCCAGAAGTTCTGTTAAATATGTAAAATGGACTGCTAGTACCAGTGTAGGTAAGTTTGTTGCCCCAGGTTTAATAAACTCTGGATGTTGTATTGAAAGGCACTATGGATTCCATAACAACTGTCAAATACCTGAGTAGTTCTCCAGTACCCTGTTTCTGTTATTAGCTTGTGAGTTGGAGCCAGGCTCTCTGACTAAAAGTGTGTTGTCATACCCTCATGACCTGGGATGCTGCTACCGTAGTTCTGTCAGTTACTGGTTTGTCAAACTTGATTATAGACAGGCAGCCTTGACAACAGCATTGTTGACTGTAAATATCTAGCACACAAAACAGTATCCCAGTGCCATTCTATTTATGTGTCACTAAGTCCCATGTGTATAACTGATACTGGTTGTGTGCTTGTAGTTCCGAGTGCTAGTCCGAGCAGTGTGAAAGCCGTAGCCAAGTCTTCCACCAGCATCAACATCACCTGGGGACCGGTGCCCCTGCTACAGCAGAACGGCATGATACTGGGATATAAGGTGAATCTTAACCAGCATTTCATGCAGCAAAGCCTGGCCAGTTATGTCTTAATCATTTTCATGGTCAATATGCTAGGCTGGTGGAAGCAACAATAAATTGCTCAAGATTGAGATTGAGCTTTTCTACAAACATGCCTTTTGAAGAGGAAGTTCTGGAAGAATCATGTTTAAACATTTTTCGGATTGTTATCTTTTCAATGAAACGTAGCCATTCCTTCTCTTTACCATGCATTCAGTTTAGAAAAATAAGGTACTTTCAAACATTTCGTCTATGTACTAGTGTCATGGTTTTTTAAGAATATTCATTTTAGTCTAGCCATCATTAGATTCCGATAAGGAATGATAAAAAAATGTGGAAAGGGAGCATATCTGATAAAATGAAATTCAATCTTGAATGTTGTGTAGTTGGCACCCAGTTCATCATGTATTGTGTGTTCCAGATCAAGTACTCTGCTCCAACAGAAGGGATAGATGCCAAGTTTGAGGTGGTGGACCATAATGAAACCACACACTTTCTCCTCAGAAACCTGCGCAAGTTTGTTCTCTACCAAATTCAGGTATTAGCTTACACAAGGATGGGCGATGGTGTGCTCAGCAATGTGGAAACTGACAAGACCCATGAAGATAGTGAGTACATTTTGACCTTTCTTTTAACGATTAAAGTGAACGTTTTTGGTGAAGGTAGAGATTATTCACCATTTTGACTTTCTTGTTTTCACATTAAGCTGGGGAAATGGGAGGCCCTGTGGTATGGCTACACCAATTTACAGTGCAGAGTTACATCCCTTTGCTGTAGGAGAACCCTCTGCTTGTGGGTTTGAAGCCCTGACTCACCTTGATTATAATCCATCAAATGGTAAAAGTCTAGGATCTGCCATGCTTTGGGATTTCCTCCCAAACTAAGATGACCATATGCTTATTGTGGCATTACAAGCATATTACTCATTCACTTTACATGAAAGTTGACATCCAATCACGAGTTAAAATTATTCACAAAAGTGGTTTTGAATCCCTTATTTGTCATGCACTTTGCTAATGTTTACAATATGTTTTTACTTCTTACTTATTGGACTTCTACTATTTCAGTTCCTGGTCCCCCTATCATCATCTACTTCCCTGATGTCACCTACTCCTCAGCTAAGATTGTATGGAGCCCACCCTCCGAGCCTAACGGCATCATCACCCGTTACAAGATAGCCTACTTCATCCAAGGGTCAAGTAACATGTCCACAATCGAACTACCATCAGGGGTTCTGATGAATACTGTGTTTGGCCTTGCCAGAGAAACATACTACGTCTTCAGTGTAACAGCCATGACAAGACTTGGATGGGGAGAGACGGCCAATGTCACAGTCTACACTATGAATGACAGGAGTAGGTTTTTTGCTGGTTATTGTTATATAATGCTACAGTGTTAGGAGAACTCGATGCATAATGGAGGACAATGCCACATAATATTTGTGAGAGAGTGATTAGGTCCTGCAAGGTCCTGATTGTCTGTATTATTCATGATTACCAGTACTTTAAGTTAATGATGTTTCACTATATCAAAAACTGGTTTTGAGTGTAAGCTTGCTCTTTTCCATAAGTGTGTCTCTTGCCTCCAGGTCGACCTGACAGACCCTCCAAGCCAACAATTGTTGGCTCTGATGTGACAGCTCGGGAGGTGACTATCAGCTGGAGACCTGGCAATGACAACTACGGCCCACTTCGCAACTACACCATCCAGTATCAGCCCTGCAGTGGGGACTGGACAACCTTTCCTGATGTTGTACACCCTGAAACCACCTCCCATATTGTTTCCAGGTCAGAAGATGCCAGATGAATATGATGGTTTTCAAGTTTTATCCCATTGTCATTACTTTGATTTTATTCTTTGGTAAACCCTCATTTCCTCCATCACTTGTGACTACATTTGGCCATTATGTGGTGGTTTGGGGACATGATCTGTCTCTTGTCAGCTACTGAGATGATGCCATGTCCGGCTCAAGGCAGCCAAATGAGCCTAACTCTGAGCACAAAATTTTGGCAGCAATGCATAGAGCCACAGATTGCAGTCATAACTCATATCTGAATTTGAGCAAGATAAATTGATATTTGACAAAATAAATGAGGGTTCATGGACAGCAGGTGTTGTGGGAGCATCATATGATGTGAGGTCACTAAAATACTGTCAAAAAAAAGAGTAAGAAGGACATGTAACTTTCACTATGGAACGAACTATTTTTAGTTCTAATTACCCGTGAAGGTCCGGGTTAGAATATTGATCTTCAGTAACCCATGCTTGTCGTAAGAGGTGACTAATGGGATCGGATGGTCAGGCTCCCTGAATTGGTTGACACATGTCATTGGTTCCCAATTGTGCAGATCGATGCTCATACTGTTGATCACTGGATTGTCTGGTCCAGACTCAATTATTTACAGACCGCTGCCATATAGCTGGAATATTGCTGATAGCGGCGTAAAACTAAACTCACTCACTCACTTTAATTCTAATTACATTTGCTACGCAGATTACGTCCCAACACCTGTTACAAGTTCCGTGTGTCGGCCACCAATGATGTTGGTACCAGTGACTACAGCAATGCATCTGCTCAAGTCCATACTCTCTCTGCCAGTAAGTCTGAAGTCTTTTCATCATTCCCAACACTTGATGTGGTGGTTCATCAGTATCATCAGCATTGATGTTTGTGACATGGCTTTGATTCCTCATGTGGGTACAACAAGACTGAGCCAAGTCCATTCCTGGTCTCCCAGGAGTAGTATACACAATAGCGGTTCTGTGACATGTCCTTCCCAAGGCCGCAGTTTAAAAATCGAGCCCATGAGGAGTCACTAATCCTGTACCCCCATTGTGTATACTACTACTGAGTTGCATGCAAAATTTGGTGAAAATCGGTCGAATAGTTTCTGAAATATTGACTTTTAAGTGAGCACGGGTCGGTAGGGAAAAGGCAAAATGTCCAACTTTTTGTCGTAATTAAGTCCTAATTACTCTTATGAAGTAATCGAAAGTGTTCCAAATGCTGTTTTGCTATAGCCTAACCATCTGCCGAGATGCATGCAAAATTTCACGAAAATCGGTCAAATAGTTTAGGAAATAATCACTTTTTAGTGAGCATGGGGCCGGTCTGGTGAAAGGCTAACAATCCAACATATTGTCATACTTGCTATATATTATCGAGGCGAGAGGTGTTTTTAGCTGAATGAAACGCAGGTCTCTGAAGTCATCACCTCGCTACCGTCTCGGGGGTTGCTTTGAGCGAGTGCTGTGGACGAGTATAAGTGTGTGTATCTCTCGGCTTCACATGGCCGGCTGACTAGCGAGGCTACAGATGTCTGAAAGTGAATGAAACACATCCTCCGGCAGTTTCCTTTCCGTGTCGTTGTCTCGGTATCACCCAGCGAGCGCTGTGGGTGAGTCGCAGTGTGTGGCTCGGCTCGGCTTGTACAGCCGACTGGGGCTGGCTGGCAATGTATGCACGGCAGGCTGACTAGCGAGGCTACAGATGTCTGAAAGTGAATGAAACACACTTCTCTGCAGTTTCCTCCCCGGGTCCTTGTCTCAGTATCACCGAGCGAGCGCTGTGGGCGAGTCACAGTGTGTGGCTCGGCTCGGATTGTACAACTGACTGGCTGGCAACGTTACATTGATTTTCACTAAATCATACCGCATATCTTGGCAGTTCTCCCGGGTCGACTCGCTGCCGTCTCGGTAGCATTGAGCGATCGCCGTGGACGAGTTGCAGTGTGTATGTCTTGGCTTGGCTATGATGGTGATGCACGGCAGGCTGACTAGCGAGGCCACAGATGTCTGAAAGTGAATGAAACGCATCTCTCGGCAGTTTCCTCCTGTTGTCGTCGTCTCGGTATCACCGAGCGAGCGCTGTGAGCGAGTCGCAGTGTGTGGCTAGGCTCGGCTTATACAGCCGACTGGCTGGCTGGCTGGCTGGCTGGCAACGTTATGTTGATTTTAACTAAATCATACTGCATCTGTCGGCAGTTCCCCCGGGTCGACTCGCTGCCATCTCAGTATCATTGAGCGAGGGATGTGGGCGAGTCGCAGTGTGTATATCTCGGGTCGGCTATTTACCTACAGCTTGCTGAGATGGCTGGCTATGTTATGTTGATGTCCATGAAACAGTTTATTGTGAATCTCTTTCTATGGTTTGTTTGGTTGTCGTAATGAAAGCTTGTCGGGCCTGTTTCTTCCCTTGTTCTATGAATTATTTTTTCTAGTCTTCGCAAATGACGGCGTTTTTACGAGACTTGGTCCGAATCTCTTGTTTCATTCTGTGATATTTTGCGATTTCTGATATCACCAAATGAAACTCTTCTTTGAAGATTTTACAGTCGGTGAGCACGGTGGAAATATGATCGTCTATCTTGTTAACTTTGCTTCGGCTAGAATTCTAATTTCGACGTGTTTCAATGCTTTACGTTGAAGTCTGCGAGGTACGAACTTAAGGGTCAATCCCAACCCTGCCACTCCGGCTGTTATTTCAATGCCTAGCACCACGGGTGCGGCCACGATGGTGGATAATAACCCGATACCTGCTACGCCTAATCCCATGCTGACTGAAACCAGAACGCTGTCAACACCGTCCACGGAATTGACAGCCCTGTGATATTTTTTCTGTAATGTCGACTGCGTATCTCGTTCACGTTCTGGTTGTTGTTTGATCTCGCATACCGTCTACGGTTTCCAGTGTTTTTGCTACTTCATCCACGACTGGGTACAGTCCCATTCTGTATATATACTCTTTTTTTTATAAAAGAGTATTTAATTGGTCCTCAGTCAATGTTTGATGAATATACTTTAAGCTGATGAGGTACAAGTTTTCCTATAAATAAATGGTCTCGAGTTAGATAAAATCCTTTTGAAATATCATAATATGTAGTTTTGCGGTGTGTTTTTTTCCTGGTTGTATATAAATATGACAACGTTTTTGTTGATGGCGATCATGCCAGTGTATTTTTAACCCATGCAGAAGGATTATATCTACTCCGGGGGCATCTCCAAGAAATACTTCGATAATAAGAGTAGAACCTTGTATCACACTGATCCACGAGTCTAGCACATAAGTATATTTTAGTATAAATAACGCTATTTTTTTATCATTGGGGACTAACATGTTAGCCGTTTGATCTGGTAATGGCTTTATACTCTTGTCGACATTCTTCTTCCAGGATTAAACCTACCAAGCAGTATCCCGTTACTTTTTAGCGAGATGCCACAATCATTATTATCCATGATAAGATAGGGGTAGGTCAGGACCAGGTTAATAATCCAGTTTAACTGAGATTTGATGATGACTTCTCATTGTTTGTACACGTCTTGTATGTGCATCACGTACAAGGTGTTTTCCTCGACGGGCAGATCGAATCCTCTCGTGTCCCCGAGATCGGCTAGCGTTACGTTGGGATGATGATGGTTCATCTCGTATATTAATATGTTACGAAATAGTTTTGAATTGGTTATCTGTTAATTCCTCGTACGTGCACTTTAAACCCATGAGATGTATGTTGTCGAGTAGGAAAATTTTGGTGAGCGATAATGTGTCTTCCACGGTCACGGTGACTCCCTGCAGACTGGTTCAGTTCCTCCTGTCGTCTCTAGACTGTCTGGTGAACGCCAACGACCCGAACGACTTCGACATCACCAATCGACGTCGAGACTCGACCTCTGCTGCTGAGGAAGGGCGTCTACCCCTACGAGTACATGGACAACTGGTCCAAGTTCGACAAGACGTTATTGCCTCCCATATATCGCTTTTACAGCAACTTGACCGACTCGACTATCTCACAGGACGATTACGAGCACGCCCTCAACGTGTGGGACAAACTGGGCTGCAAGAATTTGGGTGATTATCACGACCTGTACTTGAAAACCGACGTGCTCCTGTTGGCCGACGTGTTCGAGATATTCAGAAAAATGTGCTCGAAACAGTGGTATTTCTCATCCCCCGGTCTCTCTTGGGACGTCTTGTTGAAAAACTGGCGTGGAGCTGAAACTACTGACGGATTACGACATGCACCTGTTCGTAGAGAATGGTCTGCAAGGTGAATTTCTATGGCCTCCAAACGATACGCCAAAGCCAACAACAAGTACGCGAAAGGCTACGACTGGGCCATGAGTCAGTATCTCCTCACCGAGGGATTCGAATGGGTCGTCTGCCCGTCTGATATCGATGTGAATAGCATCACGCCAGACTTAGAGTACATCTGAGAATTAAACCAATCGCACAACAGCTATCCGCTGGCTCCCGAACGATTGACGGTAAACCCGGACTGGATGTCTGAATATCAACTGACTTGCTGGGAGACAACAAGCCGACGGTCAACATCGAAAAACTCGTGCCGAACTTGATGAACAAAACGAAATACATCGTTCACTATCGCAATCTGCAGCTGTACTTGTCGCTGGGAATGAAACTCACGAAAATACACAGGGCACTCCAGTTCGATCAAGTCCTTGGATGGAGCCCTACATCCGAATGAATACGGACTTAAGAAAGCTGGCCACCAGCGATTTCGAGAAAAACTTATACAAGCTCATGAACAACTCGGTGTTCGGCAAGACAATGGAGAATTTGAGAAAACGCGTTAACTTGAAATAAGTCAGATCCAGCGAGGAAGAAAAACTCAGGAAACTGATCGCCAGCCCGGCGTTCAACCGAAGCAAAATATTTGACGACGACTTGCAGCGCTACACATGAACAAAAGTCACATCAAATTCAACAGGCCCGGTTACGTGGGGATGAGTATCCTAGACTTATCCAAACACTTGATGTACGATTTCTACTACAACGAGCTGAAGAAGCAGTACGGTGACAGATGTGAAGTGCTGTATACGGACACGGATTCCCCGCTGATGGAAATTTGCACCGAGGATGTGTACGAGGACATGAAGAAACACATGCACATGTACGACACCAGCGACTACCCTATAGATCTGAGAATCAACAAGACGTCGCTGTCTCCCATGGACACAAAACGATGAATCACCATCGACGGAGTCACCACTTACTGCGTACGGACACACGCACATTATTATTAAATAATTAAAACCCACATAATACATACATCATGGAGAAAATTTATTACAGCCCGCATGGGTACTGGAAAGGCGGGACGCCATCCCAAAACTTCGCCATAGCCGCTAGAGTCTCGGAAGACCTCGCCAAAGCTTGGTTTAAAAACAAGCCATCTGGCAAGTTTACCTGCCGGCGCCTAGGTACATCCGGAGAAGAAAATTCGACATTTCAACGCCAAATCGCGTTCACCAAGCCGACCTCTTGTTTCTACCTCACGACAGGGTGAGGCTTAAACCTACAAGTCGACGTCGCCAGTCGCTACAAGGAAGCCGAACCGTTGATGACCAAAGATTCAAACGAAGTCGCCAAAGCCTTAGAACGCATATACAAACGCAGTCGCTTGACCCGGTCTGCCGTATTGCAGATCGATCCCGGACATGAGTTCATGGGAGCTGTGTCACAACTGCTGGCCAAGCACAAAGTCCAGGTGAGACGAGGTGTGGTAGGAGCTCACCGAAGGCAAGCCATAGTCGAGAGAGATTCAATTGCGCCTTAGCCGAACATCTGTTCTCACATCAGTACTCGCAGGGTTTAATGGATCCCAAAAACAGAAACACGGAATGGGTCGTACGCTTACCGCGAGTGGTGGATGTCATCAACAATGAAGTCACCAGACTCGTGGGCAAGAGACCCGTCGAAGCCATCAAAATGAAATCTGTCGAATCGTCGTCGGCAGCGGCACGTCGTGATAAAACAGAAAACATTACCGGACCGTGTCAGCGTTAGGTACTTGTACCAGCCGGGAGAAAACGCGCCACCGATCCGATATAGTCCATGAAAAAGTACAATGTAGACCTTGTCGACATAAAAAAAGGTGAACCGAACTTGTACTACTTGAAAGACGGACCGCCGAGAGCATTCGTCAGAGAGGAGTTGATGATCTTACCTCACGACATAGTCCCTTACACATCACCCACCGTGTGATGATAGTTTCTCGTCATGATTTTTTTATCAGTCTTGCATGCCTATTTTTCTGCTTAATGTAGCCAAGCCAAGAGAGACACACGCACACTCACTGCGACTCGTCTGCCCACAGCTCTCGGAGGCGACCTGTGCTCACTTAAAAGTCAATATTTCAGAAACTATTCGACCGATTTTCATCAAATTTTGCATGCAACTCAGCAGTAGTATACACAATTGGGGTACGGGATGAGGGACTCCTCAAGGGCTCAATTTAAAAACTGAGGCCTTGGGAAGGACATGTCACAGAACCGCTATTGTGTATACTACTCCAGGTGATGGAAGACCTATGCGTTCTTCATTAACTTTAATACAAATTTGAAATGTGACCCATGTGAATGAAAAAGACACAACAAAATCAGTTTTGTATTTTTGGAGAATCGAGGTTGATTATATTTTGAACACAGTGTGATGACAATTCTTATCAAAAGAGAGGAACAATGATTTTAAAATCTTGAATACACAATTACCGTTTTCTGTTCTCTGAGGAATATCAAATAAAGGGAAAGGAAAATTACATCAGTTTTTGAAATAAGGATTATTAAAGAGAAATTCCAATCGTGTTGCAGAACCTGAAGGAGCACCAAGGAACTTGAAGGTGCTAGCAGTGACCACAACCTCGATCAATGCAACTTGGGAGGTAAGGGCTATGATGAAAAGCATGTTGTATTACCTGACCGATGTACTTAAGGAAGAGTTTAATAACGATTTTGGCATGAATATGAAAATATGTGTATAATCATTAGAATCAATACAGACAATGCCTTTCTACTAGCTGGTTAATGGTTTTGAATGCCCAGTGGATATTCATGGGGAGAATGGGTCTCCAGGATGTATGCCAGTTTGAAGTCGACAATTCCCCACATTTCATGTTCTTTAATTTGTCATCAGCTTGAAAAAATCTAATCATGTTTCTGTTACAGCAACATGTAATCTTAGTGACGTCAGGTCATCATGTCATAAATATTGTTTCTCAACTTAACCTGTTGCATTTCCAAGCCGGCCAGGAAAGTTACTTGGAACAGTAAGGAAATTGAGTACAGGCTCCGATACAAAGCTCGTACAGCTAGGCTTTGGAGTTACCGTTTTGTGATTGGAAAGTTTGTAATGATGGAAGACTTGGTTCGTGGAAATACCTATGAACTTGGAATCCAGGCCCTGAACTCAAATGGCAGTGGCCCATGGGGGAAAAGCATGTTCATTATCCTTGAACTCGGTATGGCCAACTCTGCATGAGTATAGTGTGATATGGCTGTCGTAGTTGACGCATGAGCTTGTTGTGTACATTCCTGTTGTTGATATGTTTTGTGAATTATATAATCCATTGTTTTTCATTTTAAGTAACATTTGTGCATTTGGTGACATTTGATGTATATGTATATATACATACTTATATTTGTGAACTGGACAATTAGATTGTGATAATATGATCCCATGGTTCATAAAACAAAAATAAAGTATGCTTATTAAGTTCATTTTGGTTGATTTAGTATACCCTTAAAAAAAACCTCTCAGAACTCTGGTATCCCTGTTTTACAAAATGGCACCAGAAGGATTTTAGGTCTGTTTCATCAATATAACAGTGGGGTGAGATGCATGTAGATCAATACATTTACCTTTGTTATTCTGTATGCAAATGAAAATGATGTTAATGGGGGCCATGACTGAGTATGATGTCCTTCGTTTGATCGAGATATTCAAACCCACTTTGTCTGCTAAGTCAAAACATGTAATGTATTTCAACCTAGAAGTGTGTGTCTTAGTTTCACATCGGACAGTTTAACAAGTATTATCAAGTATCAAAATCTATCAAAATGTTGTAGACCTAGACTAGAAAAGGACGCCATTGTCCTTAATGCCACCTTAACGCAGAACCAGTAACATATCTTGTTCCGTGGATTGTGTCTAGTTGTCCAGTTTACTCAAATTCATCACTGAAGACTTAAAATGTCGTGTATATTTTTGGAAATTATCCTTCTGTTGTGGCGTTGTAGACAGTTACAGTGAAATTTTGATTTGAAAAAAAAAAATCATTAAAAAAGAAATTATCCAAAACAAGATACAACAAAAAGGCAAGATGTGGAATCGTACAGGATTGCGCCAGCTGGGACAGCCCCACTCCATCTCTGCTGTTGTCTATCATGTAACCGGTCCTTGCTAGGTGTTGTCATGTGTACCCACACTGCTTTTTTTGTTGTCCAGCAACCTGAACGGAACACGTGGAACGGCCAGATTGTAGGCTATAATATCCAGTACCGCCAGCTCCAACTCCCAGACTATCAGGAGGAGTCAGTACCGTTTGAACAAAATAGTATACTTCTCCAGAATCTCATAGTGTCGATGCACTACGAAGTGCGAGTCCTGGCCTTCAACGGGATAGGTCAGGGCCCACCTAGTACCCCCGCGACAATATACGTTGGAGAAGCTGGTAAGATCTGTGTAATGCTTCCTTCAATCTGTGTTGCCTGTAGTCACTGTAACAGGAAGACAACACTGTCATGTCCTTCACAATACATTTACACAGCAAATCATTATTTATGGAATCTCTGAATTTAATGTAATATCATCTTTGAGGAGTCAGAAAGTAATCGTTGAAGCTATGGCCGTTGCATGATCCGTTTTAAACACTTTACTTTGGTAAATCTATGCACACTTTTTACTTTTACTCTGTAGTTGTGGCATATCATTATTTCACATCACAACCGTATTATCAACTGTCTTTTCCAGACAGTGCTTTCACATTTATTTTGCATATGCCTGCTTTGTGTGCTATTTAACATTTTGTTTTCAATGATGATCCTGCTTCACTTCTCTGTTGTCTTCAGGAGCGTACAACTTGCTTGTCAGAATCTGCTATGATAGGTTTTAATCCCAGATTAGCTCTGATCCTTGGTCTGTAAGCATCATTAAAGGGAAAACTATGTGACCTTCTTCACTATGAGTTTTACTCCCACATTATGGCAGCATAGCATGGTATAACTGAAATACTACTAAATGGAGATCAGTATTTACTGTCTTTGACATCCTCTGTATTTCTCTATCACAGAAACTTACTGGAAGCAACATTAATGCTTCCATGGTGATTCAAGCTTAGAATTGCTACCCCAGGACTCTCAGTTGAGGGATATACCCTGTAGATTGTGTGGTAGGGCTTGGTGACTTCATTGAGCTTGTGTCACCATATTCCGACGGGAATCATCATTCACAATATCAATCACCAGATTATCTGGAGGACTTGATTATTTATATGCTGCTGTCATTATAGCTGGAATATTGCTGTATGTGGAGTTTAACAAGAAACAAGCAAAAAACTCAGTCTTATTCAGTCTCAAATATACCACGTCTTATCAAGGAAGCTGCTTCAAATGTTTTGGAGATTAGATGATACCGTTCCTCTGTCCTACATGGCTTCTCATGATGTGTCTATTACAGCACCAACAGCACCACCCTCTAATGGACGAGTCACTGCCCAGAGCTCTTCAGTGCTTGTTGTGTCTTGGAACGCTCCACCTCCCAACACACAAAATGGAGGTCTCTCCGGTTATAAGGTATCATATATGGATAGCATCACTATATATCAGTGATGCTATATGTTAACACCTTCTGTTGTAATGTATACCAATCATACACAGCATTGGCTGTGCAGTTTTATGTTTTTGTAGAGCAGGTGTGCAACAGGCACACAACAATAAATGGTTTTAACATATGTTATATTTGAGATTACACTTTCTTAGTAAAGTACAGATTCTAGTACTTTTTTGGAGTTGAGCCCCCAAAAGTACTAGAATCTGTACTTTACTAAGAAAGTGTAATCCCAAATATAACATACGTTACATTTGACCACTTTCTAAAATGGCATTGTGTATTTCAATAAATGGTTTTGATGAAAAGTTGTAAACTGGGAATGGCATTGTTAAGGATAAGACCTTTTCCTGAATTTAGTCAAGAGTGGAAGCTGTCAAGTCAGCTGTCCAGTTGAATGAAGCACTAGTGGTATCCATGCTATTGATTAGAATGCTGTCATGCTGTTACATGACTGAGATGTTGAAGGAGTCATCAACCCCAACCCACCTAATTCTGTGTGTTACCTGCAGGTGCTGTACTGGCTGAATGGGACTCTGCCGTCTGCTGCGCAGCAGATCATTGTGGTTGAGCGCACGGCCTCGCTGACCAATCTGGAGACATTCTCCACCTACTACATGACAGTACAGGCCTACAACCTGGCCGGCGAGGGGCCCAAGACTGCGGTATTTAGTGGGAGGACACTGGAAGGAAGTATGTTACTGTATCCATGATCACCCACATGTCATATTAGGTGGGGGCGGTGGGGTAGCCTAATGGTTAAAGCGTTGGCTCGTCACGCCGAAGACCCGGGTTCGAATCCCCACATGGGCACAATGTGTGAAGCCCATTTCTGGTGTCCCCTGCCGTGATGTTGCTGGAATATTGCTAAAAGCGGCGTAAAACCAAACTCAGTCAGTCAGTCATATGAAGTGTGTGCGTGCGTGCTTGCGTGGCTGCGTTCATGCGTGCTTGGTTGATTCAACTCATGTTATTCCATTGGGTAGAAGGGCTCATGATGTCAGTGACTGGTCTGGCCCACACTCTGCTGTCTTTAGCTGAATTGTTGGTGCCTATCACAAACAAACAAACACCATGTGTCATAGTGTCATTAGATTTGTCATCAAAAGCCTGTGACTAGTTTACCCTACAGATAGACAGGTGATATTTAAGTTATATAGGTGATATGTTATGAGTATTGGTATATCATTGTGACCAATGGTAGATAAATGATGTTCCTGTGAACAAGTCTATGAACCTGTGATGGTATCTCTGACATCTTAAACCAGTAGTTAAGTTTTAAATGTAGTTTTTATGAACATGTGTGTTGCTTTCAGTCCCAGGTCAGCCTGGCCCCCTTAGGTTTACCAACATCACCCTGACAAAGATGACAGTGAAGTGGTCTGCACCAGCCCGCCCCAATGGTGTCATCCTCAACTACGAACTGGTGTACTTCCTACAGAAAGCAGATGGAGGTAAGCAGTGGTTTACCTCAACTTATAATTGTGGGAAGGATCCATGGGACCTAGAAAGGGACTGTTGGAGCCAATATTTCAACCCATTCAGTGGAATTGATACCATCCCTTTTGCAATGTTATACGAAAAAAAGATAGCTTTGACCTTGACGTGTACCTTGTTACTCTAACAGAGACAAAGCTGGTGAAATTGACCCTGGATGGCAGTCAGCACCACATCACCATAGACAGCCTGGATGAGAACAGCAGCTACACCTTCCAAGTCAGCGCCAAGACTGCCAAGGGCCCTGGCAGCAAAACCAATGGCACTGTCACCACCGGACCTCAGCCAGGTGAGTGTCTCATGAAGGTGGCCACTTTCTTTGGACAAACTTATTCAGGGGAAGGTGTGAGGTAGTGTTGCCTTAAAGCACATCACTTACTCAAGACAAACTCAGCTCTTGCAAAGTGTAGAGTAGCTGTGCCTTAAAGCAAACCAACCTGTGAAGGTCCGGGTTAGAATGAACCTTCAGTAACCCATGCTTGTCGTAAGAGGCGACTAACGGGATTGGGTGGTCAGGCTCACTGGCTTGGTTGACACATGTCATAGGTTCCCAATTGTGCAGATCCATGCTCATGCTGTTGATCACTGGATAGTCTGGTCCAGACTCGATTATTTACAGATTGCCGCCATGTAGCTGGAATACATGCTGAGTGCTGCGTAAAACTAAACTCACTCACTCACCCACTTAAAGCAAACCATAAGACAATCTTATCTAGTTCAGCGTGTTGGATAGCTTTGAGCTAGGTATGTCAGACTCTTTAACCAATTAATATGCAATACCAGTGCAAGGAGAGTTTGAGATGGCCCTTGTGTTCCCCCTGTGAACAAACAATCCACATGTACTTAGGAAGGTGTACATGTGTGGCTTAGGGACCTCAGAATGTACAGTGTAAATAGGTCGTGTGATGGGTATTGTACCGTGGACATGAAAATGAAACCAAGGACCAATCTTGGGTTTGTGTGATGTGTCATATTTTCCAAACTAACCGTACATACCTCTTTCCTCCAGGCTCCCCTGCATCCCCAAGTGCCCCCACTTTGGAGGAAAAGGAAAAATCAGTCATCCTTACATGGGTTAATGGGGCTGAAGGCAACACGCCCATATATGGCTACATGATTCAGGCCAAAGCAGAAGGTTGGTGCTGAGATGGATGTAACTACTGGATTACCTCTACATGTTTGAATTGCAAGACTTTGAAGCAGTTACATTTGTGACATGGTGCATAATGTACTAAATTTAGATTAAGTATGTTCCATACAAATGCAAATATTTTGAAACTTAATGCAGTTAATTGTGCGACAGGATTTAAGTGCACAAACTGATGGGACCAAACTGATAGTGTGGACAACAATGTAAGGAACAAATAGGGATGTTTATGATCCCTTTCTCTGTCTACACACACATAGACACACATACTTCTGTGCCCTTGTAGTATCTGACATTACTCAACATCTCACCCATGTTTTAATGTAAGAACAAGCTTGTTCATAGCAGTTTATATATTTATGATCTTGTTTGAAGGTAATGAGAAGTACCGTACAATCATGCAGAAGAACTCCAGAGAGCCTACAGCCCTAGTAAGCTTCCAGAACCTCACCCCCAACACAGAGTACACATTCCGTGTCATCGCAATCAACTCCAATGGAATCAGTTCCCCAAGTGCACCCTCTGCCCTAAGGCGTACCCCTGGTCCAGGTAAGTCCATAGAACGGTGGTCTCTATTGTTTGTTTTTATTGAGATTATTGCACTTTGCTGTTCTCCCAGTGGTAAATAGTTCCAAGGTTAAATAGTTCCCCGTTACAGTATATGGTCGATTCCAACGAAAAGTGTACACATCATGTTTGGGCCCATAACATTTTAGCATTACTACCTTCACTTATTACAGGGTGCCCATCACATTGGCACAAGTGAGACGATTCGTGCTATATATAACATGACTATTTTTAATTAAAAATTATGCTTATGGGAGGCAAAAACAGGCCATTTTTATTCAATTTGACTTTTATTTACAAATGTTTTGTTGAAAACATGTGTGTTAAATACTAATCAAACTGGATGAACAGAAGTTTATTAATCTGATTGCCAAATATTTCATGAATAAATCCCCTGAAATGATTTTGTCTAGGGCTTAATTCGTAATTTTGGTATTTTGTTTTCAAGTGGTATTTTTTTGCGTTACTACGAATACAGTTTTCAGTGACACTGTCAATTTATGTAAATGCAACGCAAGGTTATGTTTTGTATTACTTTTTACAGCATTAAAGTACTCAAATGCAATGGCGTTACATAATATTTCTTACAGGTAATAATCTGAAAAATTGTCAGAAAATCAAAGTCTGAGTTGGTTAAAAAAAATCACGTTACCTACAAATACCATTAAATATGTTGCTTTTTCCACAAATGAACACATTAGTGAATGATATCCTGAACTGAAGTGCAAAAGGCCACAATATATAAGTGTGCTACATCTGAACATTTTCTGTGCTGTTTTTACGAAGATATCACACAAAATAACCTGTATTCGTAAGTAAATTTTAACTCCCAAATGTTACCTACAAGTACCAACAACTGATCACATTCAAATAGATTGGTGGAATGACAACACATGACATGTGTTCTATTTGGAAGTCATCATAGATGAGACCAGACAACATATTGGTGATTAGTAAGTGTATTTTACATTTTCTGCAAGAATGTTATATAAATAAACCCATGCCACAATAACATAGGATGCATATGACACCTTTTACAACTAACCAACTTTAATTTTAGTGAGGTCTTATTATTGTAAAAAAAGGCCTCAGACTGCAAGTGGAATTGACATGGGGGCTCAAATTGGTAAGACATGGTGTCCCACTGGGATTTTCCTGGTTGTGGCTCACGGCATTTGTGGATAACATGTATTTGTTGTTAACAAAATGAAATAGAGAACACAATACGCTGCTATAACATAATTTATAATGAAGACAATTTTTGCAGATCATAAAACTGATTAGGTACGCAGTACTGCCTATTAATAGATTGAAATGGTTCCTTGGAATTCCAAATGGCTACGTAAATGAGCGTTCAATAAAAATGTTCTATTCAGGGATGCACTGCAGTTCGTGGTTTAGACTTTATTATAGTGATATATAATGAATTCTTTTTGATTGAAATGTCAGAAAACAAGTTGATCTTGGTGATAAAAGTAAAAGTTTGCATGATATCACAGGATAAACGGTAGATTCGTAGGTAACGTGTATTCGTTGGTAACATTCCGAATTTGTAGGTAACATCAATCAGTGTGTTTGAAGTTGTATGTCTTGTTCAGGGCTGTCACCGATGCACTTGCAAACATAGGAGAATTGAGATTGTAGTAGAAGTAAGTTGCATGGGTTTAGTAATTAGATTTGTCAAAGGTATGTCTTATTCGTAGGTAACTCGTTTTTGTAGTTAAAACTTTCTGTAAATATCTATCTAATAGCAATTGTCATTGCAAAATGTGGGTAATTAAAGCAGAGTTATAGTTCAGTAAGACGTATAATGTATTGATTGTTTTAATGACATGTTTATCTGTACATAATTTTATATGGTATATGGTAATAGTTCAAGCGTTTTGAACATTTGGTAAATAAAATTTCAGATGTAATGATTTTAGTTCAATTTCTATACTTCTCATCAACAGTTTAGACTCACTAGTGTAAATATAGCCACATACTTCAGGCGACTGTTTTAAACTAAATTTTGCAAAATATTCCATACTGTTTAAAGGTATTGTTTACACATGAACTGATGTATTGTAAAACAAATTCGTAACATTGAAAAGATTATTGTCATGAGTTCAATAAATGATAAAAATCAGTGAAAATTGGTGAATTCTGAACAAAACTCTACACCAAAACGCAGCTGTTCACATGTACGATATTTGCACATGCTTTTCAGCAAATCAATACATGTTCCTCGTGCAATTCATCTGCATAAGGTTTGCAGTTAGTTCCCCAAAGTTAGTGGAGAAATCAATCTTCGATGTGACCACACACACACACATGCGCGCGCACTCTGTTTTGGACACCTTGTACCCAACTGTGTCCACTTTTCGTTGGAATCGACCATATATGTCTCCTTTTGGGAATTAAGGAACAGAATAGTTTGATGTACTCTCTTCTTGTGTCCTGTCTGGCTGTGAACTACTGTTCTGATGGCCCAGGTTGAGATAATGGCCATATCACTTTAAACAACATTTACCATTTCTATCATTATCCATTAGTAGAGTTTCAGTTGATATTTAATTGACATTGATTCAGATTTCATACCAACATTCAAGGTGAAATTAATCAACAGAGTAATAAAATGTACATGGATACAGATTTTGTATCCAATGTCTGTCGGTACCATTTGGGTTTATAGAATTGCAAACATGTTTGGTAGCACACATTATGCTGATACACTTTTATGTTAATTTAATGAAATATTATATAACTCACTGTTTTGATCTGTGGTTTTACAGTTTACAGGTGGCAGATACCATTGTTCCCAATTTCTGTACACCATCATTCCATCCCAAAGTCACATTCCACCAGCCCATTCATTAACTGATTTTGAGCATTTGTTTGTTCCAGCTCAGAGTTGTGAGTTTTTCTACCAGTATTAGCAACTCCTCTTTCTTTTTCCTTTCCTTTTCTGTGAAATTCTGTTTGGTATTGATGTGTGTATGCATATTAGTGAAGAGGATTTCTTCACTGTTGTATTGAGGTAATCCCATCATCAGCATTACTTCAAGGTGGAAACAGTAGGTTGGCTCCAAGAGCTTGCATAACCACCATCCTTTCTTTAGATGTGTAGCTTACCAGTCATTTTGTTGCAGATCCTTGTGAAAGTTTCTGTAAAGACGCTTAGTATTTTATACCTGGTTCTGTAAGGCCTTATAGCTTTATTATAGCTGTCTGTGGTATTTAAATCAGTCTCTTACCTGTTATCAAAGGAGGAGGTTTTCTGAGATAAGTTCATGTGTATTATCTAATGTTCAAGAGGTGAGCTTTCACTGAGAAAAACTGTTCATCCCTCCTGCACAGTATGAGCTTACCTAGGTTTCTGCATGGTTTGGATGTACATATTTTCAGTGTCAAACTATCAGTTTCCTGAAGAAAGTGAAGTTAACATTTGTTTAATTAAATAACTGCTAAGAATATCCTTTTTGGAAAAAAATGAAATTTAAAATTTTTATACTTACTTCTTCCAATTGTCACAGAGGTAAACTGAAGTCAGGTGTATAATGTATTTCGAATAACCTTATTCATTCATGCAGTCATTTCAGATTAATCTTTAATGTTAAGATTACATGATAAACAGCTTTTCCATTGGATGAGAGGTCAGTCACTTGACATGGAAACTGATGTTCATAGATTTATCCCCTCACTTCTATCGAGTCAGACATTTGGAAGTCTTGCCTTTGATGTAAATGTATTAAAACGCACTGTCACTGAGACTGACTGACTGATTTAGTTCCTAAGACAATTTATTCATGGTATTGTTTCAATCTATATGTTGTAACCCAAGAACAAATTATGTTCCGGTAGAGCAAGATGAGTCTACATATGCTCTTGTAGATGTCCTTTTGATGAATTATTTCAGTCTGTGTTACAGTTAGTTGTTGTATGGCTGTCAGTGTAAACAGTCACATGTACTCAATGACGCTGGGTAGTACATCCCTTGAGGTGTGTACCTTCATAGTGTGAGGGCCAACCATTTCCTGATTGTTGTTGCATGCTCAACATTAATACAGATAAACCCTCACTTGATGGAGGTTCACAAAGTGAAAGGCAAATGAATGAATGAAGAAATGAACAACCAACATGAATGAACGAACGAATGAACGATCGAATGAATGACTTTGCAAACCAGTTGATAATAAATGTATGCCTGCTGACTTTTACATGTGCTCATAACATTCCTAATTACATAGAGAACAGCTGCTGTAACACTACCAAGAATTTGCATGGAAGCCTCATAGCCCAATGACGTCAGCTTACCTGCCTATATAGGCTGTATCATGTATTATGGGGCAGATTGTCATTCAAGACCTGGAACCTGATAATGTGACTGAATGATAAGTAGTTAGGATTACATGTGACATGTAAAATATGGATAAGATTGTCTGACAAATAAGTTTGTTTAACTGAAACTTGATTTTGTCTGTCGCTAGTAAATGAATCTTTTGTTGTGGTATTATTATTTTAGGCATCAAGAATGCATGGCTTGAAGTTGAAACTTCAAGTGGGAATTGTAGTCTTTATGTTCAAAAGATTTGAAGACTTTAATTGGGAGTAGTTTCCTTTCCATCATTTTCACTAAACTTCTGTAATGCAAACCAGTATATCAATGGCTCCTCTCCTTATAGAAAATACAAATCATTAAGTGACAAAACATGTTTCTGGAGCTGCATAGATAATGTTGTGATTTGCTTGATCTAATGTTGCACAACATGTATGCAGTATTAATATGTGTGTGTCTGATATAGTTTGCACTCAATTCTTTCTTTTCATGCACACTTGGTTAGGTAGCTCTTGCACACCCTCTGTCATAGTTGTAGAAGTCTGACGTCATGAGATACTAAAGTGATTTGGGTCAGTTTGAATAAGAATATAAGAACATAGTTGGAAATACAATTTTGTGATAGTAACTGGAAGCACATGTAAGTCAGATGAACTGTCACCATTCATCATTTTCTCTGTTGAATGACAGGAACACCTACACAAGTGCTATGATGTAACATACTTTGTTCCACAGTAACAGTGTGATAAACTATGATATAAATGTACACCTTTGCTGTGTTTGTGTGACAGCTGTAATTATCCATGCCATAAAACAGGCCCTACATGGGCTGAGATTGTCTACTTGACCATGACTTGATGCTCTTTGCTCCCAGCTGTAGCAGCAGTAGGCAAACCCTTCCACTCCGAGTGGTGGTTCTTGGTCATCATTGCCCTCACCGGAGTCATCGTCATCCTTATCATCATCTCCTTGCTTTGCCTCATCGGACGAAGGAAGAACACTAAAGGTATATAAGATAGAGTAGGGATACATAACTGTTTAGATCTTGACATGATTCTGTCATACATGAAAACATGAGTAATATCGGTTTGGTTTTTTTCAGGACTGGTGTTGCCACTGTTTTAAGTGATCCATTCACATAATTTTACTGTTGGTTTACTTTTAGGACCTTGACATTCTCTTTCAGTCTATAGATGGTTATTCTCTGGTGTTGACGATTAATATTGTCTGGTGGGTATCATGTGACAAGTATGGGTGTAAGGTGACCAGTATGGTAATATGGGGTTCCGGTGATCAGTATGGGTGTAAGGTGACCAGTATGGGTGTAAGGTGACAAGTATGGGTATAAGGTGACAAGTATGAGTGTGAGGTGACCAGTATGGTAATGTGGGGTTCCGGTGATCAGTATGGGTGTAAGGTGACAAGTATGGGTATAAGGTGACAAGTATGGGTGTAAGGTGACAAGTATGGGTGTAAGGTGACCAGTATGGTAATGTGGGGTTTCGGTGATCAGCATGGGTGTGTGGTGACAAGTATGGGTGTGAGGTGACCAGTATGGGTGTAAGGTGATCAGTATGGTAATGTGGGGTTTCGGTGATCAGTATGGGTGTAAGGTGACCAGTATGGGTGTAAGGTGACCAGTATGGGTGTAAGGTGACAAGTATGGGTGTAAGGTTACCAGTATGGTAATGTGGGGTTCCGGTGACCAGTATGGGTGTATGGTGACAAGTATGGGTGTAAGGTGACAAGTATGAGTGTAAGATGACCAGTATGGTAATGTGGGGTTCCGGTGACCAGTATGGGTGTATGGTGACAAGTTTGGGTATAAGGTGACAAGTATGGGTGTAAGGTGACAAGTATGGGTGTAAGGTGACCAGTATGGTAATGTGGGGTTCCGGTGACCAGTATGGGTGTATGGTGACAAGTATGGGTGTAAGGTGACAAGTATGGGTGTAAGGTGACCAGTATGGTAATGTGGGGTTCCGGTGACCAGTATGGGTGTATGGTGACAAGTTTGGGTATAAGGTGACAAGTATGGGTGTAAGGTGACAAGTATGGGTGTAAGGTGACCAGTATGGTAATGTGGGGTTCCGGTGACCAGTATGGGTGTATGGTGACAAGTATGGGTGTAAGGTGACAAGTATGAGTGTAAGGTGACCAGTATGGTAATGTGGGGTTTCGGTGATCAGTATGGGTGTAAGGTGACAAGTATGGGTGTAAGGTTACCAGTATGGTGATGTGGGGTTCCGGTGATCAGTATGGGTGTATGGTGACAAGTTTGGGTATAAGGTGACAAGTATGGGTGTAAGGTGACAAGTATGGGTGTAAGGTGACCAGTATGGTAATGTGGGGTTCCGGTGACCAGTATGGGTGTATGGTGACAAGTATGGGTGTAAGGTGACAAGTATGAGTGTAAGATGACCAGTATGGTAATGTGGGGTTCCGGTGACCAGTATGGGTGTATGGTGACAAGTTTGGGTATAAGGTGACAAGTATGGGTGTAAGGTGACAAGTATGGGTGTAAGGTGACCAGTATGGTAATGTGGGGTTCCGGTGACCAGTATGGGTGTATGGTGACAAGTATGGGTGTAAGGTGACAAGTATGAGTGTAAGGTGACCAGTATGGTAATGTGGGGTTTCGGTGATCAGTATGGGTGTAAGGTGACAAGTATGGGTGTAAGGTTACCAGTATGGTGATGTGGGGTTCCGGTGATCAGTATGGGTGTATGGTGACCAGTATGGGTGTAAGGTGACCAGTATGGGTGTAAGGTGACCAGTATGGGTGTAAGGTGATCAGTATGGTAATGTGGGGTTCCGAGATCAGTATGGGTGTAAGGTGACAAGTATGGGTGTAAGGTGACCAGTATGGGTGTAAGGTGACCAGTATGGGTGTAAGGTGATCAGTATGGTAATGTGGGGTTCCGGTGATCAGTATGGTCGTAAGGTGACCAGTATGGGTGTAAGGCAACCAGTATGGGTGTAAGGTGACAAGTATGGTAATGTGGGGTTCCGGTGACCAGTATGGGTGTAAGGTGACATGTATGGGTGTAAGGTGAAAACATGAGGGAAAATGGACCGGAGTTGGTTTGAGATCTCAAATATTGGTATCAGGTTACAGTATGGGTGTGAGTTGACCAGGGCGGATGAGTATAGTGGTAAGGTGCCTTGTCTTAAGGTTAGGTCTTTGCGTGAGAGATTTCTAATTCTAATTCATATTTTCTCATGTGTATAATATATATCTGATTAGAAATATACCAGAAATACTTTAGTCACATATCCTGCAGACATTTGATGCTTATGTTACAACATGTTTGTCCTGTCTCCAGAGAAGATGAAGCGCTCTGCCACCTCAACCACTGTGATGTCAGAACCAGCAGAGCCGGAAGATGGAGGCTTCCCCTCCATGGAACTGGCTCAGTCAAGGCGCAGCATGCACCTCAGAAATGGCTCTGCAAAGAATATCTATGCAAGGTGAGTGTGAAGGCCTGATGTCCATAGCTACTACTTGTTACACATTTCTATGAAAGTTTTTGATAATTTGGACTGTAATATTTTGACATTAAACAGATATACCCCCTTGGATGATATAGGCATTCACATGTGACAGAGTTGTGTCCCTTCTTAGTTGTGCCAGAATCCGTGCTGGTATCGAATCCTTGTTTGCCCTGGTTATGTTCCTAGGTTTGTCCCTATGTTTAACCAAGGTGGTACTCATCTAACATTTACATCACTTTGGATGTTCCCCCTTATCAAGCTGACACACTGGGATATAACTGAAATACTGTCTAAACTGGTATAAACTATGATCAACCAGAGATGCCAACCCTTACTCATTGGGTGTAATTATTATGATTTTGACCATTAAATCATGCCATTATCCTTAATCTGTGAAAATTACGCTTTTCTACTCGTTTTGCGAAAATCAATAAAGTGGATAAAATTTCACAGGGAATTTCTTCTCATAACGCACTAGTGCAGGGGTTCAGAAATGGCCTTACACAGATAGGAATCGCTTACTCTTAGCATTGCGCTTATTCCAATTAACTTGTAAGGAATTAAAGTATTTTGTGTCACCTGACCAACAATTTTCGATCTAGAATCTTTCCTATGTATGGAACTTCCTCCAGTATAATGATTTGGTCACAAAGTAAGATAATTTATGGCTACCTCCTGCATGTGAGAAGCATGTACAATGGTGGGAACCCCCTACCATGTACAAAGTCAATGACCCCCATCCCTCTTTCCACACCTGAAACACACCCCCCCCCAAAAAACATCAAGAAAAAATGGGTCATCACCCCCCTAGCCATAAATTATGAATGGTCCCTAAACTGTGATCAATTCTCAACTGGTATAAACTGTGATCAGTTCTCATCTGGTATAAACTATGATCAATTCTCAACTGGTATAAACTATGATCAATCAGAGAACCACCATGGATGATATTGCACAAAAGTCCAATTGTTCCAGATCGCCTCCACGCCCTAGCCCTGCCAGTGTGACGTACTCTGATGATGATGCTGTTGCTAAGGCCCCTCTTCCTGATGATGATTGCAGCAGCATCACAGAAAAGCCATCAGACTTTGAGGATTCTGATGAAGTGAGTATTTTGTTATCCAGATTGAAATAGGGATTCTGTTTCTGAAGATATAACACATTACTTGAACGTTGACACAAATAAATATCAAAGTAAGTACTCTAAATTTAAAGGCCATTTATGATTACCTGGGGACTGCAGTTTTTAAAGTTTGAAAGTTTTGAAGAAAGTGAATTTGCAGGTGTGTTGGGTTTGTTCTTTTGGTGGGTAAAAAGGAGTCATTTGCAGATGTTATCAGTAGTTTTGAAATGATAAAATCTGTGTTCCCTTTCAAGCCATCGGATGATGATAGTGAGTTTGATGACAGTGAGAAGAGTCCATCTTCTCCTCCTCCTCCACCGTTTGGTGGTGCCCATTACATCAACAGTGATGTGCGGCAGTCCTGGAAATACCCTACCAATTCCAATGCATATGCATATACTGACAGTGAAGCAGAGAGCAGCCATTATGGCATCAGTTTACAAGGTGGACATGTTCTCAGAGACCGGGACCTAGTCAGCAACCGGGCTGGGTCTCGTGCCCCTGTCTCAGGATTCTCCTCATTTGTATGATGAAAGCATATCTAATCGAACACTTGTGTACATATGTAGATGTGTGCTTCACAAAGCCAAATGATCAAAGCCAGTCCTAAATAATGTGTTGATCAGCCATGCTACTGAGAAGGTGTCGGTAGTGTCTGCCTGAGCCTGTGTTTGTGCTATGGCTATGTCAAGTACACACTTCAATGGATTGATGAAGATTTCAGTCATGTGTGATTGTGTCACAAGATAGCTGGGAGTTTGTTGTAGATGTTCAGGGGAACAGTGAACAAGAAGTCATTAGAATTGATTCTCTAGGAATTGAATCCTTCAAGCAAATGGCAAAAAATGATCAAAAGTGAATGAGTTTTTATTTATGTATGAGACCACTGTGCTCTTGATGAAGACAGAAACATACAGGAGGACTGAACACCTGTAAACCTTGTCAAGAGATTCTGAGACATCACAAATGACTCTTAGAGGATGCATGGGTGAGATCTCAGAAGATACATGGACACTGTTTTGAGGAAGATGTGTGGAAGATACCTGAGAAAAAACATGAACACTATGAAGAAGGATATGAATAGACCATGTCTTAGATAACAGACCAAATTACAAAATTAAAAAAGAAATTCCAAATATTATCTCAGACCCTGGTGTAGAGACGAAATCTGACACAGTGGCCATCACAATCCCAGTGCATTTGTTTGAGTATATGTCACGTGCCATGTGGATACTAACTCTCACAAGTGTATGCAAATCCATACAAGATAATGAACCATCTGTGCCTCCTGTAAATATCTAGCCATCTTTGTGTATACCCATTCAGAGGACATCATCATTCCGACCAATTCATGTTGCAAAAGTAGGACCAAGGAAGTTGCCAGGAAACAGTTTCTGGGAGATGTGTTGCTAGGATACAGCTGAGGATGTGTGTGTCCTGAACAGTCATACATACATGTTTCCAGTACACTGACTACATGACATCTCATACACATTTGTAAATAACCATTGAGTCACTCATCAAGGTTGTGATTTTAGTTTTTCGTATCATTGTTATTTTTACTTATACATATTGCACATAGAACAGTGGTTGCCATGGGTTTATAGGCAATGGCAGTTTGATTCAGATAACTAATTTTAGAATACCAATGTTGAACATTTTAGATCTCACAACAATCATAAGATTTGTATCAAGTCAACCTGTGATACTATGAGAGAAAGAAGCAAATGTCTCAGTGCAGTTGGAGGGGAGGTTATTCTTGGGTATCCCATATTGTGAATTTTAAATATCAGAATATTCTCCCCAAAGATGAGCTTTATGTTTGTCCTATATTTGTACTAAATGATTTATAAAGTTGTTTTACATGTCTGCAAGATGAAATTAATCTGTAATCATTATGAGAGTTAATTTTAATGGAATGATCCAAGGTTAGTTAGGGATACCCAGAAATGACCATGCTGTAGCAAGTTTTCTTTGAGTTGTCTCCCTTTGACCTACATGATATCAGGGTCCAATTCTTGTAAGATAAAACCATTATGGTGTTTTGCTCAAATGTAACCACAGATACACCTATAGTGTTAAATGTTTGTTGAGAAGAGTTATGGTATTGCAATAACTCTTATCATGTTCCCTGATTGTTCTTGATTTGTAGTTCACAGGGGTTGTTGGTTTGTTTCCCAATGTGAAATGGTTGTTGTTACCTCAATGAGATTAAATATTCATTGGAAAATGTTTTCCTAAACACCTGGATAGTGACTTATTGCCAGAAGCCTGTGATTGAGGGTTTGAATCATAGGGCTCTGATTATTTCTAGGTTTGTCAGAATCATACATAAGCTTGTGGGTTTCTCTAAAGTGGTAAATGTCTAAGACATGCATCACTTAAGGTGTTCCTCCACAATCAATCTGACACACCGTGATATAACAATAAATGGTATTAAACCTGTATAATTAGGAAACTTCTAAGTAATGATATAGAGAACTGTTTATCATCCAAACTGTGTTCCACAGGAGATATTGATTGTGTGAGATCAAACGATATCTCCTAGGAGATATCGTTTTGACAGTAGATTTTGTACAATGCCCTGACAATGCTATGATGTCATGAACTTGATGACATCACAATGCTATGACATCGCTGCACTGCAAGTCTAATGGTAGTACAGTCTTCAGAGATTTACATTTTTCATTGAAAACTAGTGAAGAATGATTTTTGATGATAAAAAGAATCTCACCCTCGTGTCTTCTGATGTTAACCACCATTTACAGTTAGTTCTACTAAACAAATGACACAAATGTTGAAAGAAATCATATACTATCATGTTATTATTTCAACAATTAACACCTCTACAAAATGAGCCAATAAGTTGAAAAGTAATCATTTTACCAATTATATATTAAGAATTCTTTTAAGTGATTATCTTCAGTCAATCAGTGCACCATGCAATAAATACAGGCCTTAGTTTTATGTGATGCCAAATGTCTTTGACACTGAAGAATGATCTTCAATATTGACAGGTTGCTAAATGTTATCATTTTTAGGATGATGTTTATTCGAAATACAGGAATAAATAATTTCAAACAATTGCCAACCCAAACTATTATGTATACATTTTAATTCACCACATTGCTACAGGATAGTTTAAGTGAGGATAATGTTTCTCCTTCTCACTGTTCATATCCATCCAATCACTATCACCAATCACCAATCACCTGTATGTAATAGCAATTATGACAATTTTTGTCTTCATTCAAAAATTGTACATGAACTAAATACATTTGCTGTTCAAAATATTGTTAGTTAAATTATTTAGATTCTTAATTCCTCTGTCTTTTTACCTCTTTCTCATGACTTTGTTTTATTTGTGATAATGTATGTTGTGTCATTGATTCATTGACAGAGACATGATAGAAACAGTAATATTTTTATGCTCCAAGCAATATTTTTACAATAAATGAACCCTGTACATAAGACAGTAGTTATGGATGGTTAGATTGTGTGATGTGACTGACGTGATAACAGTTATCATGTGAGTTGCTGTGTGATTGCACAGTGGTTAGGGTGCTTGTCAAATACAATGATCAGGTTTCATTCCTGGTGTCAGATGCAAACTTGACGAAAATGATGAAATGAATAGACTTGTATCAATTGAAGTCAGTCATGAAATATGAACTTCTTGAGTGAATGACATGCTCAACTGAGCATGTTTTAGATATATTTATCTGGAGCTGTGTTTTCTATTACTCTTCTTTCTATTAGAATTTCGTCATTGATATCTTTCTCAAATGTAAATGTACCTTCAATGATCCTTACCATTATATTGTCTTTTTCTCCTTCACATACAGATGCTTGTTAACAGTCTGGTAATGGTTACCGATGTGTTACAGAACTAAATATGGCAGATATGTTGTACATGTATAACATATCACTAAGTTCATTATTTCTTGTTTCTGTATAGCTGAAACAATTCTGATGCAGCATTACCTTTAACTGACTCAGCATTTCCAAGATACGGTTGTGCACAAGGAACTGTTCATTTACCATTAATACTGTACATTTTTAAGTTTTGGAAACACTTTTTATATTTGGACCATACCTTAAAAAAAGTTAATGAATATGTTTTATCTTCTTAATTGTTAGTCATTTGTAATTAAGAAAGAACTGGAGACCTGTTCTTTATGCCTATTCTAGCACATACTTATGTTTGTATCAGTATGGCTACATGTCATTTTTCTTATCCAATATATTTCTTAAACAGATTTTACGTTTATGATATTTTCTAAACATGCACACCTTACTTAAACAATAGACCATAATGCATGATATAAATCAACGAGACAATGTATTTTTAGATACAACTTTCTCATACCATAAAAAGCAATGCAGTAAAATGTATTTTAAAATGGCAAAGATACATAACCATTTCTGTATTGTTATAGTGAATATATCATCATGAATATGTCATTAGCAAGGTAATTCCATGTTCCTAATTAGTGCAATATGATGATCATCTGTCCTATCCAGTCTTTGTCAATAAAGTATCAAATATGATTCCATAAAACAAATCAGCATTCCATTCCCAGGACAAAGCTTCCTTTGAAATACAACAGCCTAGGAGTATTAATATGAAGTAGTCAGAATACAGTATGGACTGGAGACAGATATATTTTCATAGATAATTACCTTTTTTTTGTCTAGAATAACCCATAGTAGTGTTTTGTTTGCAGTATCTTTTGTATGTAATATTGAAAACTGGTGGTTGTGAAAAATGTGCTTGAGAGAATGGAACAATGCATGAGCTGTTTTTCATATAAATAAATAAAAGATCAATACATTGTCAGTGTTCCTTCTTATTAAGTAATTGGCTGTGGTACACTGTGACCATGTATACTATGAAAGGGATTTCATTTTTGACAAAGTTCACTATTTGTTACGAGGGAGGAGTGCAAAGAGAGGAACAGCCAGGTGTACGTGGAGCACGTGCACAAGTCCCGACAAAGTTGTTGAATCATTTACAGTCCGTTTGAAACAAATGATACCGATGAATTGCAATCTAAGACAAAAACAAAGACATAAAAGGATCAAACCAACGCGGACTGCAATAAAAACAACAGATCAACTCTAGAAAAAATTGCATAATTTGTGTCACAAAAATAGAAAAGTTGTTTAAGAAACTCATCGTTTATTTGTGCGTTTTCCAAGTTTGTTACAAGGGCACATTGGCAACTAAAGGAACAGCGCGAAAAGCGAGATGCACGTGTGGCACGTGTGCTGTTCTGTCTCCATCCTTTCTAGCACACCTGGCTGTTCCTCTCTTTGCACCCCTCCCTCGTAACAAATAGTGAACTGTGTCAAAATTTTAATGATAGTTTGTTAAAAATCACAGAGTTGATCTGATGTTTTGATTATGATCAGTGTTTCAATGATTATGATATGTTTAGTAGTTTTCGAGTTTGCAATTCATCGGTCTGCTTTTGAGCCAAACGGACTATAACCACGACAAGCTGTGGTACACTGTGACCATGTATACTATGAAAGGAATCAGCATATATCACAAGCTCAAATGTTACTAATGACGCAAGCTGTGGTACACTGTGACCATGTATACTATGAAAGGGATCGGCATATGGTATCACAACCTCAAATGCTACTAATGACGAATGGCTGTGGTACACTGTGACCATGTATACTATGAAAGGAATCAGCATATATCACAAGCTCAAATGTTACTAATGACGAATGGCTGTGGTACACTGTGACTGTATACTATGAAAGGGATCAGCATATGGTATCACAACCTCAAATGTTACTAATGACGCAAGCTGTGGTACACTGTGACCATGTATACTATGAAAGGGATCATCATATATCACAACCTCAAATGTTACTAGTGACGAATGGCTGTGGTACACTGTGACTGTGTTTGCCATTGAGTGAGTTTAGTTTAAGGTCGTATCAGCAATATTCCAACAATATGGCGGCGGTCTGTAAATAACCGAGTCTGGACCAGACATCTAGTGGTCAACATCATGAGCATCGATCTACGCAAGTGGGATACGATGACATGTGTCAACCAAGTCAGCGAGCCTGACCACCCGATCCCGGTAGTCGCTTCTTAAGACTAGCTAGGGTTACTGAAGATCAATTCTAACCCGGATCTTCACGGGTCTGCCATTGAAAGAATCAGCATACGGTATCACAACCTCAAGCATTACTGACGAAGACACTAGGATCATGCCTGCCATGAAAGCAGATAATGGTCAAACGTTAACGTTACTAATTAAAACTGACTGTGGTACTCATCATTATTATAGTGGCACAAGGTGAAACCTTACTGCCACATGAACAGATCAACCAGTCGTCAAAGGCAGCGCAATTCCCATCGCAAACTCCTCCCCGTTAATGGACCAAAAATGTGGGATCGTAGTTTTCAATTCCGGTTCTGTCTGATATTTAGCCTTGTCATACTCTTGGGTTCAGCCGAAGTCATCAATGTCGGCATCAATTCGCGCTTTCCTCTTACATCAAGCAGACTTGAAATGCTATTCAGAGCAGGGTTAAATCAAAGTCACTCACTGAAATAGGTCCGTCCGGATGACGGGCGTAATCCAATTACATTTTTCAATTGAGGCCTATCAAATATGCTGATAAAACGTCTCTACGCTCAACATGTTGAAGGTTTTCTATTAATCATCTGGTCCAGATTCGATTATTTACAGCCGTTTGAATATTACTTGGTGCCGCTTTAAACAACAAACACACAGTGACATGCCAGTTGAACGAATGAAATCATGCTGAGGGGAGCTCGGATTGGGGAACGGGCACGATTCACTCGACGCACGGTCATTCATAGTCAGCTCAGCTCGACTGAAGTAGAATGTCTTGAGCTGGAAATAGTAAGAGACATAGTTAATCACAATTACACAGAGACAGTCTCCGTTCCACGCAGGAAACTAGTTGCAGTGTAAAGACCTGTACTGGAAAACGTACTCGTAGCATCTTTAATATTTGTTTACTGTATCTTGAATTCCAGGTTATCGTAAGTGCCAAGAGTGAGTGAGTTTAGTTTTACACCGCTTTTAGCAATGTTCCAGCAATATCCCGGCGGGGGAAACCAGAAATGGGCTTCACACATTGTACCCATGTGTGGAATCGAACCCGGGTATTTGGCGTTACGAGCGAACGCTTTAACCACTCGGCTACCCCACCGCCGCAAGTGCCAAGAGTGAAACAGTTTTATGAAGCTATTTTGATAGCAATGAGATCGTGGAAAAGTGCAGACAAGCCATGTTAACTCGGAGGTCAATAAATCATCGACAATAGTTGTCAATGCATTATTTGTGTTTGAAATTTGGGATAGAAACCAATATGATGTTGCAAAACATTTATTGGATAGAAAATAAGTTCAGGTTGAAGATGTATTCTCCAATATTCTTACGAAACAGTTATAAAAAACTCTAAAGTCAATATAGGTGTAAAAGGAATGCTAAAAACAAATGTGCTGTACACAAAAGTGGATTGAAGTGGGGAAGTCGTTTCGTTTTTTCTCCCTCATCAGACACTGAGTCAACACCCTTCACCCTCTGGTGTCAGCCTCGAGATAGATTTTCACCAAGCACAGCGGAATCGAAGGAGGAAAGCTGTTTTTGTCTAAGAATGTAACGCTGTTGTAACATAACTGATGATGTGTTGACTTTCCCTTTTCTCTCCATTTATACATCTATATACCTTATATGATTGAATATGTATTGTTAGCATTCCGTGTTCCCGATGACCACATATAGTTATCATCATGTTCAGTGTAGGCTACAGCATGATGGCGGTGGGGTAGCCCAGTGGTTAAAGCTTTCGTTCGTCACACCGAAGATTCGGGTTCGATCCCCCACATTGGTACAATGTGTGAAGCCCATTTCTGGTGTCCCCCCGCCGAGATATTGCTGGAATATTGCTAACAGCGGCGTAAAACCAAACTCACTCACTCACTTGATGGTATAACCTGAATAAGGATTTTGTACTTTGACTTGAAATTTTAACATTTTATTGCAGATTTTCAGGAAATCCCCTGCCCTCGGTGAATGTACTGTGATCCCTGACCCGCGAGAAGATCCTACTTGTTCTTATCTGCTATTCATACTGATGATCAAAAAGATTCAGTATACATATTTAGGAGGAGTACCTTCCCTGTAATGTTTGTCCAATATAGGACAAACATTACAGGGAATGTACTCCTGCTAAATATGTATACTGAATTTCTTTGATCATCTTTGATCATCTTTGATCAACAGTATCAATAACAGATCTACATTAGATCTACATTAGAATGTTAAAATTCAGTCAAAGTACAAAATCTTAATTCAGGTTATACATCAAGCTGTAGCTTATTACATATATGTGAACTTTATCACAATCGATATCGATTACAGTATGGCTTGCAGTTTATCAGAAGCGACTCTGATCTTAGAGATTAGATATGTTCCAAAACAGTTTCTTCATATAAGGTTAATCTACTGACAAAGAGACACAGAATAAAAGTAAATGTTTACAAACATTCATCAACCGTGATATTGCTGGAATATTGCCAAAGGCGGCGTGAAGGTATTCTCACTCATTTCTAAGCACTGATGAGTATACATCCGTTTTTCATAACCATGGTCCACGGTCACCATGTCAGTTCAGGTATCACGGAATCAATAGACTGGAGAGTTAAGGATCAGTAACAGAACGCAGGTAGGCGGAGACGAAAGAGGCGCATGAAACCAAACGATTCCTTTAAAGAACTGATCTGACAAACCATCCAATTATTCCCATACAACAAACTGAAGTTGACACGGATAGCAATCACGGAGTCTCTATTCGGTTGAAGGCCCGAGCCTACGCTTACTTCCCCTTGTTGGTTATGTATTGGCTCCCCGTATCACCGACATTGTCCGAATATTTCCACGTGGGTTCCTTGATACACTCAGATGATGGTTTGACAACGCGTAATTGATTGGGTGTATTTACAACTGATATCAACACTGACCCTCAGAATTGTTATCCTTGAGGCTTCTGATGTTTGACTTTGGAAATTTCGATATCAGAACATGTACCAGTGGAGTCGACATATATAGAATGTCGACAGCCCTGCTGTCTACTTCAGTGTCACAGCAGTCATTCAGTGTCATAATTTTGATATGGTTGACCCGTGAAGGTCCGGGTTAGAATGAATCTTCAGTAACCCATGCTTGTCCTAAGAGGCGACTAACTGGATCGGGTGGTCAGGCTCGCTTGGCTTGGTTGACACATGTCATCGGTTCCCACTTGCGCAGGTCGATGCTCATGCTGTTGATCACTGGATTGTCTGGTCCAGACTCGATTATTTACAGACGGCCGCCATATAGCTGGACTATTGCTGAGTGCGGCGTAAAACTAACTTCACTCACTCACTTGATATGGTTAAAAGCTAGCACTGTGCTAACATGCATCAAAAATTTCTGAAGTGAAATTTGTATGTGCTTTCCTCAACCAGGATACTAACTAACTTACTCTGAGCCCTTCTTCACTTCATTGTTATCAGGACAATTCAAATTTCAGTTTCTGATAACACATTTACTCGACTAATGGGACGCTTTTCAGACGTAAAGTAAGTTCAAAATTGAATTCCCCTGGTATAGTTACAATCATGCAGAGAGAGTGTGTTTGTATTGTTCAGCTGTTCAGCCATGACGGAGAAACTGCTGTGGTTGACCATAAGGTGACACGGGAATACCTGAGTATGACGGTAAGACAGCCAGCAGCTATATGTGCTGCAATGACGAGCAGTCATCAGGACACATACTCACAGTTGTGGAAACTA